GGGTTTAAAGGTAAAAGTAGGGCCGTTTCCCTTCTTCGTATAATACTTCGTAATTGCACTAATCTTTATATATAAGAATATATATAAATCTTCCTTTTTAAAAGTGTAACGTACGTCGGTCATCTTTATAATAATTTCCTAATTGAAAAATATAATTATTTTATCGATATTATTAGGCGCGTCCTTATCTTCGAAGTTAGATATATCGAGGGTCCTTAATTAGGCATCCTATTTATCCTTAATAGTAATAATATAAAGTAATTATTAATAGAAAATATTATCCTATTCTACTACCGCCTCTAGGGTAATTAGAACGTTATTAATATTAAAAATAATCTATTTAGCGGTAATCTTATCTTTTTAGGCTCTAATAACCTATTTTTACATTTTATTAACTTAAATACTTTCCTCAACCGATATCTTAGCTATAGATTTCTTCTAGGGTAAAGTATTGGCCGAAGCCTTTTCCTCAGGCGTATACGCTATTACGATACGATTGTTTTTACTTGAAAGTAATAGGATGTTTTAATTTCCTCCTTGGAAAGTATTGGATTGATCTTGTGATTGTTACAAGCGATATAATTTATAAGAAATAAGCTAACATATTAATTCTAGGTCTATAGTAGAATTATAAGATGAAGAAGAAAAGAGGGAAACGTACAAAGGTGCGCGCAGGGTTTGGGGTTTTGACCCAGAGCCTGTGCGCCGGCCCAGCACGCCGTCCCAGCAACGGGTCGGTCACGTGCCACGGCTATACGGCTTCCCCATGTCAAGGCCTGTTCGCCAGTGCCGTGACAATTATAATATTCGTCGCCGATGGTAATAGTAGCGGTAGGGGTTATAACGGGAGTAGCGATAGTAATATTGGCGGTAGGCGCGGTTCTAGTAGTGCGGACCTCTTCTCTACCGTAGTAACCCTTACCTCTACCTTTCTTCTTCTTACTTTTATTATATTAAGAATTTTAAGAGCTATAATTAATTAAAGTAAGGCAATTATAGACAATATAACTATTACTACTATAGTAGCGGCATTTGCCCTTGCGGGTATACTAATTGAGAATATTCTTATAAATAAAGATAATAAAGTCGATAACGTCGAAGTCTATCTTATTACTACCCTAGCTAATAGGAATGTTATCGGTATTATAAGAGTTAGTGCTACCCGTATTGGTATTAGTATTACTAGAACTATTACCGGCGGAGGTACTATTACTGAAGATATAGATATTTATTTTATAGTAGTAATTAATATCCTTTAAATTACCTACAATAATGCGACAGATTGCGAACCACTTTTTAAAATCGTTAGTTTTAGGAAGGTTACAATATACGAAAGTATTGCGGAGGCGTTTATTAATTTTATTATATAAGTAGTGAACTTTTATAGAATTATTAAAGCTGTAAAGGTTTATTAAATTAGTAAGCTCTAGCTCGAACTCTGTAAAAAATATATTCTTTATAAAGAATTCCTTAAAATAACGGCCAACGTCTATTTTTAAGTTAATATTCTAGAAATAAATAATTAAATATTCTATAAACTTAATACTAATCTTCTAATACCAAAAATCTATATCTCCTCTATTTTAAATAATATCCAAATTATTTTAAATATTAAATAAAATTTCGGAACCTAATAATATAATAGTACGAATAATTTTAATATCCTTATTAATATAAAGGAAGGGGTTATACTTCTACTAAAATAAAATACGGAAATACTATACTTTAAAAATCTCGTATTTACGGGCCGCATTAATATTCTCCTTACCGGTAAAAATCGGCGGATTCTCTATAATCTACTTTAAAAATAATATTTTACTAATATTAATACTAGTAGTTTTATTAAGGTTATCGAGTAAGGACCGGATATTAACGCTATAAGACTTAAAAATAGTATAATTTATATTAAAATTATTATATTTCTTCTAGAGGTCGTTAAATTCAACTATTAAATTAAAATAATCGAAATTCTTTTAATCGAAATTATTTTAGGCTCTAATAACTACTTTATAAATAATCTTTAATTCGTCTTTACTACGTTTAAAATCGACGGTAATATCTTTATATTAAATAAAATCGTTATAATAAAAACGACTAAATAGGGCAATGATTAATTAGAAAGTAGGGTCCCGAATAATAATATTAGCTACGTTAAAATAAGTACGAGGGATAGCTTTCTTTTCCTCGTCGTCGCTAATATTAATAAGAAGGTTATTAATTACTATCGAAGGAAGGAATTTAATGAACGCAACTTAATAAATAGCAACGTCGGTAGTATTAATAATTTCGTCAAATACCTCGTAAATATTATTCAAATTAAATAATATATTCCTAAGAGGGGTACCGAAATTAATAAAATTATTAATATTATTAACGGGAAAGAAGGATACATAATTACTACTCTTATTGTAAGATATAAGAAAGGTAGTCGCACGAAGCAATCTCTTATCCCTTAGATAAAGAATACTTACCTTTATTTACTAAATAAAGGGAGTAAAACTATAATTACAATTATTATAATTTATAATTATCAGTATTTAGGGTACTAGACTCGGCGATTCGATAAGCGAGGCGATTCCTACACGCGCGCTAATTAAAAATTAATAGTATAATAAAAGAAAATAGGTTTGCGCTATAAATATAATAATTAAAAAGTATAATTAATTATTACGGGCAAAAGGTAAATAATAGATATAATTATATGTAATTGTATAAAGGAGAAAGGAAGAGAAGTGCAGCCGAGTGCCTAAAAGGCTGGCCTTATAAAGGTAACCGGCGGCGGGTCTAATAGACCCGCGGTAGACAGCGTTCTAACTAATCAGCTGCCGGCAATAGTCGGCTTGCCGGCGGTAATAACAGCGTACGGCAGTTTTAAAAGCTGCTGTACGCTGGCACCAGGCACAAGGCACACAGGCTAACCCTGTGACAGTTACTATCTTTTCCTTTAATAAAGACCATAGATTTTCGATAGGGTTAAGATTAGGGGAATAAGGAGGCTATAATAATACTATGAAGTGCATCTCCTAAAGCTATTCTCTCAATAACCTTAAGGTATAAATCGGAGTATTATCTTATATAAAGATAATATTTAGCTCTATTAGTTTAGGAAGCTCTTCTTTAAGAATTTCCTTATGAATCCGGGCCGTAACGCCTCCTCTTTTAGCATCGGGGTCTCCATTATACAATATAAAGTTACTTTTCACTTTATATTTAATTGTACCCTAAAATATTTAAAATTAACGCCTATTCTTATACCTTAATTAGACAAATCGAAGATCTAGAGCCAATAAGCCTAAAAAGAAAAGATTTGGTTAATATTTAAACGAAATATAAAAGGATGAAAAAGGTATATTATTTTACCTTTTAGCCGGAAAACCCAATACTACCTTCTACTACCTTCCTTCTCTACAGTTAATTCATCCGTAAAGAGAACTGTCCTCCAAAATAATAAATCTTTATTATAATACTCTAAAGTAAAAGCATATCTTGAGCTAGCTGCCTTATTAGAGAAATACGGCCTCGTTAAAGTAAAATGGTAGTTAATCCCTTCTTTTTAGAAGTAACGAATTAAAGTTACCCGGGAAACGTAGGGACAGGTGGCTTTCCGCAAAGTCTCAATAGCAATAAAAGGGTCTTTAGTTACCTCGCGTAGGATGACTCTTTTATCGCGCTTATTTAGGAGTAGTAGTCGTCCACGGCCAAGTCTAGAGACCCCCCAATCTTAGAATTTAAAGCGCCGGACGACGCCTTTCACGTACTCTAGCATTACTCCCTCATAAATAGCTACTATAGCTTTACTAACTCTATTTAAATACCGTACAATAATGCGGTTCCTCCGACAAGGAATTGAGTGTTTGAATTTTGCCTTTTTAATGGGGGATAATGGAATAATGGCCATTTGAAAGAAAGATGGTAAAAATGCTGAAAATGAGAAAGGAGGGGAAAATGCGGGGTTTTTGAAAAAGGGGCGTTTTTTTTGGAGATCCACTGTAACTTTGTTTGTTAGTTCTCCAAACGGCAGATAGTAAGAAAATCAGAGATTTGCTAGATAAATATTGCCGAGTGACTTGATCGTTCACTGAATGAGTAGCCACCCGAGCTTAAACCCGTTTCCCTCTTGTCAAGACCATCTATGGACATGGAAACAGATAGGTAGGGTGCTAGGTAGGTTGCACAGCAGCTACAGCAAGCTGAACTTGACCGTCCACAAGACCTCCTGCTGGCCTACCCGTCTCGGGCCTCCTTTTGAGACTACGACTGAGGGACATGAGGCTCACTAAACCGAAGATTTTGACATGTGCCAACAACCAGTTATACGCTATGTACATCGAAGCAGAAACATGTCTTGGCATCAAGACCCTGGAGGTCGAGAAGTTGGCGGCTCAACGAGTCAGCGAACGGACGATAAGGTACGGACGTTGGAGAGAGTTAAATGGTCTTGATAGATGATCAGCCACGATGATATCAAGGTTGATTGGGATGCTGTTGGAAAAGCTGGGGGCACATTATGAGAAAGCAAGGAGCATGATGGTTGCCGTCCCTGTTCCCATCCCGTTACCCGTCTCGTTTCAACACCTGAACGCTGTGACTTATTTCGTAAGAGAAGGATGCCACCGACCAAGAGCATCATCATCTTTTTCCATCCTGGTCAAGGCCGGGAGCGCGCGAGCCAGCCCGAGGTTGATCAGTATGAAGCTTGTTCCAAACTTTCTTGGGAATCCACGAGGTTGATTAGAGTTTGGGGAAACAAGCTTTTGACTCGAGTTCAAGGCCGATCCAGGCGAAGGGCGATCCTGCTTGATAGTTCTCCATTTGATTTCTTCATTGGAACTCAATTTTCTAGTTTGAAACAATAGCAGAAGGGTTGTCCTGACACGCGACGCACACACGTCCAAACCGGCAGTCCCGTCTGCTTGTCCGTCACAGCACAGGGACATGGCATGACGTCTGTTTGGCGTTCTACCTACCTATGCGATTTGAAGTGATTGCCATGAGTTACCTCCTATGCACTGCCGGCACTTGGCAGTACGCTAGTGTGAGTTGCTGCCCGTTCTGCTTGCCTGCTGCGTAAGGCGTAGCGGTAAAGGCATCATATGTATCGCGCAGTGTAAGATCGGAGTTTCATGTTCATCGTGAATCCAACATCCGCATCCTTTTTTGGGGTTGTTTTGCCATGACGATGAGTGCTGAACAAAGTGTTCCCCGTTGCTGTGGCTTTACTGCGGTTGCGAGCAAAAGTTTTACCTCCCTGTCAGGTATCTCACACAGACCACCACAGCTAACGCTTCGTGAGCACTGTGTGGTCAACGACCTGGCCCATGGGTTTAACTTACCCATATCACCATAGTAGGTCCCGTCGGGGGCGACAATTCGTTGGTATGCGACGGGATGAACGACGCTGGACCCCCTTTCCAGGCGTGCCTTTGGGGAGAAGGGCACAGTGTTCCAAACACTTCAGAAACCGCGAACCCCGTACTCACTCTTGAACCCCCTGCTTTCTATAATTAGGGGTGTGAGCGTAACGAAGAAAAAGGGGCACGCTCGGGAAAATTGGTCCGTGCCAGATTGTTAATTATAACTGATAATTTGGAGAGAGAATTCCAGAACCTAGAAACAACCGAATTGCTTTTTCATGCTGCGAGTTACATCTGTCTGTCTGTCTTGTTGCGTTCCGTCCCGGCCACCCAATACAATGTAACTGAAATCCCGTGGTTGGGGGCACCAACTTCCAGTTCTTGATTGAACGAATGTCCAATGCGTGCTGTGCTGCACAGTGTTGGCGAATGAAAAGTGTCGTTGCAATGCTGCTGAGTGTGTGCTGATGCATGGAGATCGGATGGGGCCATGACACGGATTCCAATCAAAAGCTTCCCCATCGAACATGGTGGGGCGTGTACTGGATGGAGTTGCCGGCTGGTGCAAAGTGGTTGCGTGTGCTGGTGTGAACAAAGTTGAGATTGGCCAATCTTGGGCGCAGGAGGCTCATGCACAGTTTCGTATTGCCCGTCGGTCTCTGGCTCGTCTTCCATGTGTGTACGCAGTATTTCCGCGACAGACCGGATCAACATCAGGTTTCTGCGAGAAATGGTGATCCTACTGAATGATTGTGGTTCATGAATAGGTAGGAGCTTTGGTGTTGTTTTTTTGGTGTTGTTGGTTTATAAGACAGCACAAGTCCCTTCCCTATGGCCATGATCCAGGTGCGTCACAGGCTCACGGCCAAACATCAACAGACACCAAACACCGCCACGGCTGGTCACAGTGTCGGAGGAACCGGGGACGGACATGCCAACGCTGAGAACGGCAAACTTGTGTGTCAACCAACGGATCGCAAATAGTGCAGCAACCCAAGAGAACGGACGTGCCAAACAGGCCGAAACCCGCGCCCAAGTGGCGTTGGCGTCTGTCACAGAATGTTCTTTTGTCCAGCTCCTGTCGTCATGGAAACACTGCCGCCAAAGGCTTGGCATCTTCAATTCTACACTCACACAAGAATGATGATCCTGTCTGCGCCCCATCCCGGCTTCAACCGGCCTTGACTCCGCACACATGCGGCCGTGATGATGCATGCGGTATCCCATTTTCTGGCAGCCATTTCGGCGCCGGCAGTCGCTGACGGGGAAACCGGCGGAATGGCGCGGAGCCTCTTCCTCATCGCCATAACCGATGGTGAAACAACAAATCTCGCCAGCCGGCTATTGCATTTAACTAGCCTCTGTAACGCGGGATCCAGACCTCCTCAGCATTCTAAACTCAAAAGTCGGGGAAACGAGGGTCATGATGGATACGGATATAATGGATGATGGAACCAAGTCCAGAGCCGAGATCCTGCTATATTTGTAAACAGGTCCCAAGCGAGTCCCTTATCCATGCCTGCCTTGCCCGTCTTGGGACGTCTCATCAGCCATCATGAAGACTTTTAATGATTTCCACTTTGACGAGGCCGCCGGTTAACTTCAGTTGTTCGCTTCTACTAGGCGGTCACGCGGCGTCACTGGTGGACATGCCGTCCGTCCTGAACATGGAAAAGACGGACACAACCGAGGCCACTGGAAGCCATTTGCAAGGCTACGTTTGTTCTCGTACGCTTTTTTTTTTTTTTTTTTTTTTTTTTTTTTTTTGTATAGCGCTTGGAATCACTCAACTCAGCCCAACTAGACTCACTTCGAGACCCCAAAGGCGAGTTGCAACCCGGTTCGGGACAGTTAGTGTCCTGGTCAGCTATCTGAGTGAACAATATGTCTCATGGGGCCCTTTGTAGGAAAACCTTACCGGAACATACGCAGTCTTGGCTGAACACGAACACAGACATTTGCCGGTGAAACTCAAACTCCACGACACTGACAATTCAAGTCTCCAGCCAAGCCCCTGACAAGCTACACTGGAGCTTCAGCAAGTCTGAAGAAGCAACGGCACCGAGAAATTCAAGGAAACCGACTCTGACCAGGGCGCTGCTGGACCAGTCAAATTGCACCCTACCTTCCAGGTTCCCTTTGCGTTCAGGAGGCTCCACCCAGTAAATGTACCAAGCCGCTGTACAGTAGCGTGATCAAAGCTCTACGCCCGTGGTGTGGCCGCAGCGTCCACCCTGGGATGCTCCACCCCTAGCGACCCTCCCTGGCAGGACCGCACCAATGGCCGACGGGGACAGAGACGGCCGGGTATCTTGATAGACCATGAACGATCCACCAGTGGCTGGCACCCCCCCGTGTACAGGGACGAGGTCCAGGGCAAGCAAGGTTGATCGACCCCCTTCTTCGCTGCAGGTTTTCTCTTCCGTCCCGTCTCCTGCTCCTGCTCGCGGTGCCCTTTTTCTCCTCTCCTCGAGCCACAACTGCCTCTCCTTCCCTCCTTCGCGGCCTTCTTCCTTCCATCCTTCTTTCTCCTCATTGCATTCCAGTCCTTCGTTAAAGACTCTTACCATTCTCCCTCTTACCTTTTGAAGGCTCCGCCGAAAGAACGACCATCACCTCGTCGCTCTTGCCCTTTCAACTCGCACACCACCACTCGTTCTCTCTGCACTCGATCGCGTCCCTTCCTACTTTCTTCAGTAGACTTTAATCACAAAGGTATGTTGACTGTGTTTCATTCTACATTGTGAGAACCATCAGCAGCAGCAGCAATTGCGCGAACGCTGTCTTCGACAACATCGCCCGGTCGTGCCAGTCCAAAAACTCGAAACACGAAAACGAAGCCATTGGGAGGATCCAGGAAATCACAGTGACGAGATCCACGATCATCTACCAGACCGCCTACTGCCTTCTCAACTACAGCAACACGTGGAAGTCATAAAACAACATGAGATGCTCTTTCCGACACTCCGAATCGCCAGAAACTCAGGGGGACTTGGTTAGGAAGGAATCGGGATCAACTACCTCTATCAGCGGAGGAACCGACTACCAGGAACCACTCTGCTGCGGTCATTGATTTGGATACACGGCACTTTCGACTGGCCACCTCTTTCGACCCTCTTCAGCTTCCTAGGCCCTGGTTTCAACTCAACCCGATCATACATCTTTTTTGGAACTGGCACGATCCGAGATCAAACTGCTTCTAGACATACCACTGCATTCGCGTTTTCCCCTCCGCCGCATATCACCAATACGCAACACCAACCAACCAGTCTTACCACTTCGACTGCGATAACAGAACCAGTTGTCATTTATCAACTGAATACCATCGCTAACTCTTCTTCATCAGCCCGTCACAATGCTTGTCAAGTACCTCGCTCCCGCCATCGTGGCGATTGGCGCCGCTTCTGGTATGTATACACTCAACTACTTATGCTGCCATCGCGTATTAGCGGTACGATGACTGACCTTTTTTTTCCCCTCTTAAAGCCCAGTCGGCCTCTACCTGCACTGTCAGCGGCGGCACCACCACCATCCACAGCCAGGCCGATGCTACCGGTCTTGCTAAGTGCAAGACTATCAAGGGTTCCGTTGTTGTTACCAAGGAGGTTGCCGGTGACTTCCAGTTGAGCGGTCCTCAGATCATCACTGGCGATCTCAAGATCGAGAACAACCCCAACATTAACAGCGTTGGCTCCGACACCCTCGAGCAGATTGGTGGCGAGTTCAGACTTGTCGAGACCACCCAGCTCAACTCCGTTAACATGCTCAAGCTTGCCTCTGTCAGCAAGCTCACCTGGCAGTCCATCGGCAACGTTCCTGACATGGGCATGACCCAGCTCAGCAAGGTCGACGAGATCACCATCTCCGACAGCCATCTCCGCAACATCGATGCCATCAACGTCACCAGCATCAAGAGCATGAACCTTGACAACAACCAGTTCATCACCAAGTATGAGCCCGCTATCAAGGAGATCACTGGCGACCTCACTATCCAGGCCAACGGTCTCGACATGGAGGTCGGCTTCCCCAACCTCATCTGGGCCATGAACATGGCCATCGCGGATGTCTCCAAGATCAGCTTCCCCTCCCTCCAGGTTGTCAACGGCTCTGCCCGCTTCGACAACAACAAGTTCGATAGCTTCAGCTTCCCCAACCTCACCGAGACCAAGACTGGTGATATCTCGTTCGTCGGTAACGAGAACATGCAGAACCTGACCTTCCCCAAGCTCACTCAGGTTGGCGGTGGTCTTCTCGTCGCCAACAACACTGAGCTTGAGGAGATCAACGGTTTCCCCGCTCTCCAGACCGTTGTCGGTGCCATCAAGCTCCGTGGTAACTTCACTGAGTAAGTTCTAATCTGCTGTTTCCCCTTTGCTGAACTGTCACTGACATGATATTTTTCTTGCCTGCAGGGTCAAGTTCCCCAAGCTCCAGAGCGTCCGTGGCGCTTTCGATCTCTCCTCCACCAACGATGTCACCAACGACTGCAAGGCTCTCGCCAAGATGGCTCCCAAGACGCAAGGAGGTAACGGTGAGATCGAGGGTACCTTCGACTGCCAGTCCAACAACGAGGAGGCCAACCAGGATACCTCCGGTAAGACCGGCTCTGGTCAGGGTGTCACCGGTGGCAGCTCTGGCAGTGGCTCTGACAAGAAGGACAGCGGTGCTGCTGGTCTCTCCGTCAACGCTGGTCTCTTCCTTGCCGCTGCCGGCGTCCTTGCCCAGCTCCTCCTGTAAAGAACGCTAGGATGACTTGTGAACATTAATGGTGTATCGTGGGTCGGAAATGTGGGGGCGTTTTTCTCTCGATTACTACTGCAAATCAGATGGGATTACTAATTGGGCCATCCTGTTGCGCGCACAAATATTCTCTGTTGTTTCTCTCGGCTGAGATGGAAAATTTTGTCGTTTGTTGTTTAGCTTTGCTGCCGCCTGTGTTTTTTTTTAAGGGCTGCATGGAGCGCACACATCACATGACCCCGTATTTGCAGAAAGAAACCACTACTAGACTTAATAACCTCTCTCACTCTCTCACTCTCTCTCCACCGTCCCCCAACATATCATCATTGGGGGTTAAGTGAGCACATCACATGCCGCCCTTTTCATCTGTCACTGCATATTTGCACCAGCCACACACTTGGGGGACCGGGTACTGGGTATGGATTAAGGACCCGAGGGAATGTCGATCTCTGATGATGAAACGGGCGATCGTCGGTGAAGTGAGTGGATTATGGATTGTTTCATGATGAAGCACTGAAGTCACCCCACAGGGCTACAACTGCGGTACATGGAGCTCATGGATGGCATGATGGAAATAAGAAAAGAAATGGGATGGTCAGCGAAGGCTTGTTTGCCAGCCACCTCATTTACCGTGGACTGAAATGGGAGATGGAAGTATGAGGAGGGTATCAGCGCTCATCGAAAGGTGCTTGTTATTGCGTTTGTTTGGTATTTGTGGTTGTTTGGTCGTTTATCATTGGGCTTCTCGTATTGCAGTCTAGCATTCAGGAAGGCAATTGCATCATCGGCATCTCATTGTTGACTTTCGCTTGCTTTAGGTAGTTTAATTAAGAGTGTTTTGTTCAAGTTGGAAAATTGTGATTTGGATGTGAGTGGTCGAGGAATTGTCGAAGTAAGTCTGACAATTCATGTCGATGGTTGGTACAAGTCAAGAAGCTGCTTGTGTGGTGACTGAGTGACACGGTCCACGATCATCATTCTGTTCAACATCTTCAACAGTGACTTTGCGGCTTCTATGAACCATGTGGGCAGACCTCCCTTGGAAGAGACTTTGCATAGAATTTGTTACAGTCCATACACAACGTGCAGGCGGTGTTGGATAAAACTTCACGTAGATATACGTACCTGTCACCATATCTTCATCAACGAGTATTGTCCCGCATTCTGACATGTAGTGAACTTATGAGGTTCGAGCACACACATAAATATAATGGAAATCTAAACTTGACGTTTCACCTCGTATACCCCTAAAAATAACCTTATAAGACCAATACATGTACAACATTCTTTCAGTTCCGAGACCCCATTCGCACCCATCCATCCACACCTCTACAGCACCTAACCCACAAACCTACAACTTACTAGTCCTACTCTCCTTCTTCAACATCTCCTCCGCCACAATCCTCCTCTGGATCTTGCCCGTCGCCGTCTTGGGCATCACATCCGTAAAGTAGATCTTCTTGGGCACCTTGAACTTGGCCAGCTTGCTCCCCACCCACTTCTTGAACTCCTCCGCACTGGCCTTCTGTCCAGGCTTCAACACAATCGCCACCGCGACATCCTGTCCATACATGTCATCCGGGATCGCAAAGCTAACAGCCTCGGAAACAGCCGGGTGGCGCGTCAGGACATTATCCAGCTCAATAGGCGAAATCTTCTCGCCGCCCTTGTTGATCAGCTCCTTGATGCGGCCCGTGATGACAATGTAGCCGTCCTCGTCCTTCTTGCCTTGGTCGCCCGTGCGGAAGTAGCCCCCCTTGCGCGTGAACGAGGACGCGTTGGCTTCGGGGTTGTTGAGGTACCCCTTGGTGACGTTTTCGCCGCGGATGGAGATCTCGCCTTCTTGTCCGTCGGGTAAGATGTTGTCCTTGTCGTCGAGAATGACCACTTCCACGCCTTGGCCGAGGCCGACGGTGCCGGGCTTGCGCTTGCCGACCGAGGGAAGCGGGTTGGAAGTCATTTGGTGGGCGGCTTCGGTCATGGCGTAGGCTTCGAGAACAGGGGCCTGGAAGGTCTTTTCGAGGTTGTGGAAGACGGTGGGTGATAAAGGGGAGGAGCAGGAGCGGATGAAGCGGATCTTGGGCAGAGGGTTGGGGACCGGGTGCTTGAGGAGGATTTGGTGGATGGTGGGCACGGCGGTGTACCAGTTTGCTTGGAACTGGATGAAGTCGGACCAGAAATCGGTGGCGGAGAATTTGGCGGGGACGATCATGCTGCCGCCTGTCAGGAGGGGGGCCAAAAGGCCGCAGAGCAGGCCGTGGACGTGGAAGAGGGGCATGACGAGCATGGTTCGGTCGGCAGAGGTGAGCTGGTACGTGTTGCGGATGTTCTTCATGGTGCGGGTCAGGTTGCGGTGCGTGAGCGGGACGACCTTGGGGCGCGAGGTGGTGCCGCTTGTGTGCAGGACGAGGGCGATGTCGTCGGCATCTGGCTTCAACACGGGCTGGGCGCCCTTGCCGGTGAGTTGGCCGAGTTCCTTGACGTCGAGAGCGACCTCGTTTTTGGCGGCGTCCCAGTAGGATTCGGCAATGGCGGCGTTGAACTTTTGCCCGGCCTTAACGGCGGGAGCACCGGCTGCGTAGGCGCCCTTGGGGACGATCACGATGGCGGACTTGACGTCCTCGATGTAGAACTCGAATTCATCTTGCTTGTAGGCCGGGTTGAGAGGGGCGGCGATGCCGCGCTGCCAGGAGGCGGCGAGGAAGGAGACGATGAACTCGTACGAGTTGACGGTGGCGATGGAGACCGGAGAGCCCTTGGTGATACCAATGTCTGCCAGCTTCTTCTGGAACGAAGCGGTTTCACGCTTCAGGTCCGCGTAGGTGACTGTGAGCGCCTGCGGCTTGGAGGGGATGATGACGGCCACATCGTTGTCGGCGCCCTGGATGGCGGCCTGGAGGTCAAATGGGCAAGGCATGACGTTGATTTTTCTGTTCTTTTCCAATTGATAGTATGAAATGGAACTCTGTGACCTTTATGGTGTGGTATTACAGAAATTTCTCTTGGTGTGGTTCGGAAGATGTTGATGGCGTCGTGTGATGACTGATCCAATGACACTAGTCTCGTACAAGGACAGTCCGCTTTGGGCAAAGACGCTTCGTGTAAGTGAGTCCGTCACTGGGAATAGCTTCACGAACAAGATAGAAGGAGTAAACAAAGTAACAACTTATTCAATTGGAAACTCAAAAAGATCTGAGTAAACAGAATTACAATGAACGCCGACGACGGAGGCGAGTTTGGAACACCATTGACACTCACCCCGGTCCAAGACCGATGATGCCATTCAATGCCTCCCATTCCGCGTTCGGCAGTAGGCCGGCAATCGGTAACCTTCATGGGCCCACAGGAGACCTCTAGCACAGCTGTCTAAAAGAGGGGAAATAAGGGGCTAATACGTCGGGTTAGGGTTATACTTGCGTTTGCACGCACCTTTTGAATGTGTTTGTCTGCCGCTTTGTCAAAGGGCGGCGTCTCATCATCACCTGTTTTTGCTGCTTCCGAAGCGGAGAGGACGACACCCTCTCACACCGGAGTCTCACTCACATCCAGGCTTGTTCAACCTGGACAAGTCATATAGCCACGCCATTCGTAGGGTGTCACGAGGTTCGAACAAAGTTCTGGGCCAGTCTATAAAGTTATACAGAGCGCTAACCCTTCTTTTTAGTATTTTCATCCCAAACCCTTCTTTTACCCTGTTTGTGAAGAGTCGAAACCTCTCTTCAACGACACTTGACAATTCTACCTCGCCAAACTTGACTCCTACCATAACAAAACCACAAACCACCTTTACCAAAGTGAACAAAATCATCACCATGGCCCCCTCCCCCTCCCGCCTCACCGGGGCATTCACCACCCTCAAGGACACCATCCTCGCCCTCATCGACCCGTGGATCTTCCTATCCCTCTCCGCCTCCTACCTACCCACAACCATCCTCTCTCTCCTGCGGCAACGGCGCTTCCTCGCCCTTCTCGGCGGTCCTCTACTCTCCTCTGAATTCCAATCCGTCTGGTTCGGCCACTTCTGGTCCCGCGCCGGTCCCCAAGTGCGCAGCAACGCCGAAGCGAACGTCGTGCCCCTGCTAGAAGGCAGAGTATCCAAAGGGCAAGTTGTTCCCAAGAGCGAAGCGCACGCGCCCGGAGTCGGAGGAGTCGTGCTGGAGATTGGACCGGGGAGTGGCATGTGGGTTAGCTTGTTTAGTGATGACAAGTATCTAAAGGATGAGGAGAAGGAGGAGCAAGGAGGGGAAGATGATGCCGAGGAGGAAGGACTGTCGGCTAGTTGGGCGACGATAACGCCTTCTTCTGAGCAGCAACAGCAACAACAACAACAACAACAACAAAAGCAGGCGACGAAAAAAGTGGTGGGAAGTCGCCAGAGGATAACGCAGGTGTACGGCATCGAGCCCAATTATGGCATTCACCCGCTGCTTCAACATAACATTGCGCAGGCAGGGCTGTCGCAGACGTACACCATCCTTCCCTTTGGCATCGAGGATATCGAACGCTATGCGCCTCAGATCCAGCCTGAATCTTTGGATTGCATCGTCTCCATCCTCTGCCTTTGCAGTATTCCGGAGCCTCAAAAGAACATTGCCATCCTGTACCGCTATCTCAAGCCGGGCGGCCGTTGGTTCGTCTACGAACACGTTAAGTGCTGCTCTAGCAAGCCGGGCGGTTGGTTCATGAATGTCTACCAGGCCTTTGTCAACCTCTTCTGGCCAATCTGCCTCGGCGGATGCCAGCTTCGTCGCGATACTGGCCGCTATCTGAAAGAGGCTGGACCGTGGACAGACGTCGACTTGGCTCAGCCGCCTAAGGAACAGTGGCACCACACCGTGCCCCATATCTATGGCATCTTGACAAAATAAGCAGAAGCGCTACGGTCACGGAGTCCAGAAATCATCACTGCATCAAGTCACCACCGAGTCATTAGCGAGGTCAGGGTGTCGCATACATGATCGTTGAGGCAACCTTTCAGGCTCGAGATATGTAGCACCTGACTAGAACTACCTAAAGACTGTCTCTAGTACCTATCTCACCATGATCATATCCCGTGCTGAAAATCCTCCAAGTGTTCGAGAATCAACCGCCCCAGCAATCGATGGTACTCATGTTTCCATCGTCCAATCAACATGGTGTCCTGAAATAACATTTCAACCTGGTTCCCCTGAGAAAGCACGTAGAACTGTCCGAAATATTATGGCAGATCTTTGTTTCCGAGCGCCATGGTATGGAAGATATCTTCGTTTTCTGCAACTCTCCATGGTTGGAACAAATCCAACTCTCAGATGAGCGGCGCAGAAGGGGGAGCCTTGATGAGCTTACCAGTCTCCACCAGCAGCCACGGCAGAGGACTCCCAGCCACCGCCACCAGCTTGGTGATCGAAACCGCCATTGTCAAAGCCCGCGTTGTCAAAGCCCGCATTGTCGAAACCCGCATTGTCTAGGCTGGCTGTGGCATCCTCGTCAACGAGCGGGTTGGGGCACTTGGACTTGTAGTGTCCCATCTGTTGACAGTTGGAACATTTGACGCGGGTGACTAGGATTCCAGTTAGTGATCTGGCTATATAGCTTCTATCATAGCATACTCACTATCACGAGGCTTAGGACACTCTTTGCTGAAATGACCGAATTCATCGCAGTTGCGGCACTGGACGTTGTCCATGTTCTTGGGCTCGGTGCACTCTTTCGCCATGTGGCCCTCCTGGCCGCAGTTGCGACAGCCGCGAGGACCACCACCCTGAGGGCAGTCCTTGCTGAAATGACCCACTGGCAAGAGGTGTTAGCCATCATATACGCTTGGGGGACGGGTTATACTACTCACTCTCGTTGCACTTGCGACACTCAACACCCTCAGCGGAGCGCGGCTCGGTGCCTGCACAACTTGTCAGCATTACTCGGTCTCGATACTTGATCACAGACTGGCTCTTACAATCAGATGCTCTGTGACCACTCTGTCCGCAGTTCTTGCAGGCAAACTTGTCCACGCGAGGAATGGGGCCTATACAACGTTAGACTGAATCTTACTCCGCGGTAGAAGGGGGAGCTTACAGTCGCGGATACGGTGGCCGACTTCCTCACAGTTGAAGCACTTGATGACAAGCTCCTCCTTCTCTGCACCCTCCTCAGGGCAGCTCTTCCGAATGTGCCCCAACTCGCCGCAGTTGCCGCACTTGGGTATGCCGCGAGAGACAACCTCACCGGCGTCCTGCAGACGCTCAAGATTCTCGGCAACATCGGCCGGCCACAGGTCGCGGTCGCGAGGACGGGGAGGGTTCCACTGGAACCGGTAGGTGACAGTGTACTTCTTGTTGAGGCCGCCCTGCAAGTCCATGTTGGTCATGGTGGTCATGACGGGCCTCTCAATGGCAATCAGCCACAGGTTGACATCCTGGGCACGAAGGGCCTCCTCCAGCTGCACATAAGTCGTCTCAGGGCTGGCCTTGAGGTAAATCTGGATGGCCTCTTTGACCTCAGTGACCTCCTTCTCCTTCGCAGCCTCGACAATCATGCTCCAGGCCTCCTCGACGGTCTTGTCGGGCAAGTGGCTGCGGTCGATAGCGCGAGCTGCCTCACACTTGGCGATGGTGTGGCCTGGCAAAGTCATTAAATGGTGTCCACGAGTACGGGGGGGACATAGGTCTTACCTTTCTCGCCACAATTCTTGCAGGACCTCTCCGGGCAGTCCTTGACGACGTGGTCGGGCGAGTCACACTCGCGGCAGGTCATAGCCGGAGCGTTAGGACACTCGCGGGCATAGTGTCCCTCCTCGTTGCAACGGTGACAAGCACCGTTAGGCTCCTGATGGCCAGTGCCATCGGCAGCAGCAAAGTCGTTAACGGGGTTGTCGGAACCATGGTTATCGAAGCCATCGTTGTCAGCGAAGGCAGGGCCTTCACCCGCACCCCAAGCAGCGTCATTTGTCTCCCAAGTGGCCATGTTGATCACGGCTTTGCGGTGGGGTCTTTGGGATTACTGGAAAGCAGATGGAGCGTTGCGCTGCGTGGAAGGAGGGGATGTTAGCTGTGCATCGAGGGTGAGTCAAACGTGAGATGAAGTCGCGTTGTTGATGGGTGGAAGCTGTGAGTGAGAAGGGGCCTCAACAGACAAACGTGGGACGGGCGTGGATGGGGCTGCGGAAACGAAACACAGTGACCAAGCTGAGGTGGAAGTGAGGGAAAAAGCGAGATACCAAAGACGAGGCTCGCGATGGCCACAAGATGCGATACAGACGGGAAAACGATGGAATATAAAAGGCGGTGGCACTTACGCGGTGCTTGTTGATTGAGAGAGATCCTGTGAGCTCCCTCTTGTCGAAGTCAAGGGAAGGTAGTATGAGTCCTGATGCGAGTGCGTCGGCAAGTGGGATGCCGATGGAGTGGAAGGAAGGACTGGAGGAGGAGAGAAAGGGTGGGAGAGGAAGAAAAAGGAAGAAGAGGGAAGAAGGAAGAAGAGGGGGGACTTGCGTGAAAGATGCCCGGTCCAAGTGGCAGGCAACTTGAAGAAATCTGTTGTGGGAGGAGTGGCCTCGTGCCGGGTTTGAGCCTGAGGTGACAGCTCTGTCTGATTTGAGTCTCACCGCGGCAGGCTCCCAAAGATTGAACGTCAAGGCGAAAACTGGAAGGCACTATGAAAACGACACGGGCACGGGCACGGGTACTGGCACAATGGGGGCCCGGGTCTTTGAATAAGCAGAGGCAGGTGCGTAGGATAAGAACTCACCCGTCAAACGTCATCAAGGAAGGAAGCAAGTCTTTGAGCTCCAAGGCAGGCACTCAGTGACGACCTTTTTGTTTGCGCGTGGCTACCTCTAGGTACCTGAGTGTAGGTATGTACTACGGTAGGTACCTCTGGAAAGCGGGACGAGAGTCAGTTGAGACTGGCCGGAGTGCTCATTCTCTCACCGTTGCGTCTTCTAGTGGAAGTCCTCACCCAGCGGACCATATGGATGCTACAATGGAAACAAATACAAGTAAAAGTCATTGTCCCCCAATTCACGCTCCTCCAATGAAGAATGCTTCTGCTGTTTCATTTGCCTTCTATTCAACGCAGAAACACCAAGATATTGAGACCATCCATCGTTACGCTCCAGGCTTACATCAGTCCAACCTGTGCCATTAGTTTTCCCTGTCTCTTATACTGGGCTTCTTTCAACGCACTTCCAGCTGAGATGGACAATCAATCTCCACCATCTTCCTCGGCCGCCACGTCACATCAGCCGCTACAGTACGGCCATGTCATTGAAATAATGCCGATTGTATGTGATCAATGTCGGCCTCTGGGCAACAACAATTGCAACCGCCAGTATCCGTATTGCTTTCATTGCGACAAAAAAGGACAAGGTAGGCTAGTGCAATTTCCTTTTTATGTCTCTTGTTATAAGCTTCTAGCCAAGCTTGCTGACACATTCCACAGTCTGTTCCTATACACAGAAGGTGATGGATGCGTGTAGGCCGTGTAGGTTTAATATGGGGTTAGGCACTCTACAAAACTGCGACCGCAAAGTGCCACGATGCACAATGTGTGAGTTTGAGGGGCTAGGTAAGCTACCGTATCCTTCGAATCCGTATCCTGCAATTCTGTCCTGTTGACGAAACCCTTCCACTTAGCGTGTTACAGCCTTGATACCGACAATATTGAGTACAATACGAAATGCAACCAGTGCAGGGCCCGGAATCACAAGTGTGTTGCGCGTCAAAATGCAGAGCCGTGCGAGTTTTGCAAGAGTGAGAAACTACGTAAGTCGACATCAACACCACTGACTCTTTTCCGTGTTCGGGCTTCCTCTGGCCTACATTAACAAATAAACTAGTTTGCACCTACGTGAAGGCCAGGCGCTCAGTCCCGGAATGAAACCAGATTGAGCGGTCCATTGGATGATGAGATCTGGCAACCCATGAAACTGGTCATTGGAAGGCAGAAGCTAGCAACCGTGAATAGTTTGAGGTTGCCTTGGTGGGATCATGAGGCGGAGGTCGGTACATCGAACTGTATTCGGAAGTTTCTATGAGCTCTGTTTGCTCCAATTTCTTGCATTCCCGCAGAAGAAATGCGGTCTATTATACTCACACTGCTCCAGTTATCATTTACGAATACTGGGCCTAGGAGATGGGAGCTTTGTTTGACATGATTAGTATCCTTTCAACCATGAAGTGGAACTTATAACACATATGTCTTGACATCCCCCATGGGGTAGTTTCATTTGTTGCCCGTTGAATACATGCATGCATCTGAAAAATTACCGAAAAGTGAATTAACTGGAAATTTGAAAGATGACAAGTGAATCGTCCACAATTCAGACCATAAAGTATCACTCCTCCGACTAGGCATTCCTTCTGCTCTAGCTGCCTGCTGTAAACGACTGAATTGCTGAAAACGCTGACTGAAGGAACAAAGAACCAGGGCCGTTCGAACCGTTGCTAGCTGCCTGCTATTTTTCATCCTTTTGATCATGGACCGTGATGAAAGCGGAGATACGGCCAAACGAGTTTTGGACACTACTAAGCCATTTTGTTCCAAGAGGGCATCCATTGTGGTTTTCTTCCGTCATCAGGTGCCTTTCTATCATGTACATATACATGTAGTAGCTACATAGGTATACAAAATGGTTCACTACTTGGCTATCTTTCCGTTTCATGTGCTGTTAAGTAGTAGGTTTTTTTCTTGACTTTCGAAGTACAAAAATCCTTATTTGAAGTTGTTACCCCTTTCTTCCTTTTTCACATGGAAAGAAGACTGTATCAAGAGCAAACAAATCAGTCCAACACAACTCAAACGGATATTGTGGTTCATGTCACTGGGCTCCTTTTTTCTTAGATTCTGTAAAAAAAAAGACTGCGTTACAAAACCCATACTAAACGAACTTTTCAGTGGGATATCCCGTCAACTTGCGTTCAATATGCATCAACGTATATATCCAATGGCCTAATTGGTATTTTCTTAAGTTCACTCTAAACCAAGGATTATACATTTTGAGACAAGGAAATGTTAGAGACAGGACCAAAAAAACACAACCAAGCTAACAAAAATGAATGAGTACTGAAACAAGATATCAAGGAAAGAGGGATATTTTATGCGTCCTTCATCTCGGTATCATCCTTTTCCTTCTCCTTCTCCTTCTGCTCTTCTGTCTTTTCGTCCTTCTTCTCGTCCTTCTTTTCCTCCTCAGCCTCCTTGTCCTCCTTCTTATCCTCGGCCTTGTCGTCATCAGACTTCTTCTCCTCGGTCTTCTTCTCGTCCTTCTTCTCGCCGTTTGTTGTATCCTCCTTCTTCTCCTCGTCGGTGGCGGCATCCTTCTTTTCCGCCTTTTTCTCGTCGTCGTCCTTGGTCTCGGAGTCCTTGTCCTGCTCCTCCTTCTTCTCTTCGGCCTTGGTTTCGTCCTTCTCATCCTTCTTTTCATCCTTTTTCTCTGCGGCCTCGGTCTCGTCCTTTTCATCCTTCTTCTCCTCACTTTCCTTGGCCTCAGCCTTTTCCTCACTTTCCTTGGCCTCAGCCTTATCCTCCTTCTTTTCCTCACCTTCCTCCTTAGCCTCGTCCTTTTCGGCCTTCTCTTCCTCCTCGCCTTCCTTCTTCTCACCCTCCTCCGCCTCCTCCTCCTCCTCCTTCTTCTCAGTCTTGCCCTCCTCCCCCATCTCACTCACCACCTTCTCCACTACCTTGACCGTCGCCTCGGGGCCACCGGCCTCAGCAGCTAGGACCTTGCCTTGCTTGTCCACGACAAAGACGCCGCGGGTGGTGCCCTTGGGAGCCTTCTTGAGGCCGATGGCGCCAATCAAGGCGTACGAGGGGTCGCACAACAAGGGGTAAGGGAGCTTCTGCTTCTCCTTGAAGGTGGTGTTGGCCTTTGGAGAGTCAGAGGATAGACCGTAGATGGAGAGGCCGGTGGCAGAGGACAGGGCGGTGTACGAGTCGCGGAAGAGACAGACTTGCCGCGTGCCTTTTTTTTTGTTGTCGTCATTGGTTAGTTATTGGTTCTTCTCTCTCTCTTGTGGTGGTTTCTTTTGGACGAATCCGATGATAATTGGTGCCGAGGAAATGATGGTGATTGGACAGGGAGGGGCATTGGGAACGCGTGTAAGTGGGTTTATGTATAACGCCGGAGAGTTATACCGCCCGCCCGCTTAGGAAAAAAAAAAAGATACAAGACATGGCTAACGCAGCATGCATCACAAAGGGGTGGGTGTTGGCTGGATGACGAATTGACAAATGGGAGTTGATTGAACATGAAGCCAATGAAATGAGAGGTTGCGGTGTGTGTGACGTGAGCGAATGGGAAGCTTTCTTGAGCTATCCTATCCGAGCTCTTTGTGAAGCGCAAACATTGCAAAACTCATGTCTTTCATGATGTCAAAGTGTACAAAAGCAGCGGAGAAGTGGATAACTTACAGCCAGGAGTAGAAGCCTTGGGATAAGTAAACAACACCACCCCAGCCTTGCTCTCCTCAACGAGCTTCTTCAAGCTGGTCTTGGTGCCGTCGTTGGTCTCAACCTCACCGCCAAAGTTGTCCAGATCGATGAGATCGCCGACCTTGGGGTTGCCGGCCAGAGCCGTAGCCACCTTCGCCGCGCCGTTGGCAACGGCTTCGGCAGCCGTCTGGGCAGCGGCAGTAGCGGTCTCGGTGGCGACCTCAGCGGCCTTGGAAGCGGTTTCGGCAGCCTTGGAGGCGACGTCCTCGACTGGTTCCTTGGCCTTGGCGGCGGCCTTGGTGGCTTTGGTGGCCCGCTTCTTCACCGGCGCGGGAGGCGGAGGCGGGGCCTTGCGCTTGCGAAGCTCAACGGGCATGGTGATGGTTGTCTTTGTGGAGTTTGCGCGGGTGAAGGTTGGAAATGGGAGCTTACACGCGCGTGTAAGAGAAAGGGGACAAATAGCTATAGAGAGCTGATGGTTGTGTAAGTGGTGTGGTCGCCGGATGTATGCGACCAAGATACGGTTGAGAGTTGATGAGAGAATGGTGAAAGAAGGTGAGATGAATGGGAGAGGGAAGAAAGAGAAAAGGAAGAAAAGATGGAAGAAAAGAGGTGTCGTTGTAAACAGGACAGGACGTTGAAGGTGGTTGCGCAAAGCTCCGACCAATCAGGAAGCACACGCGGTGAAGCTCGAGCGAGGAGCGGGCTCGAGAGCAGAGGAGCAGACGGGAGGCACTTCGGTTGGCAGTGTGCCTGTCTGTGTCTGTACCTGCACCTGTACTGTCTCTAGTCGCTCTGTGGGCACAAAGGAGAAGAGAGCATAGAAACAGGAAAAGAGGGTCTGGATGGAGGATGATCGCGTAACACGTCTAGCTAGGGGTGACTTGAGACACCGGGATAGTCTAAGTTGGCTGGCAGGTATAGCTCCAACAGCTGGGGTATAGCATCCAGTGAGTACATGGAACTCGGATGCCACACTGACATAACGGATGGCGTACGTACAGTTCCCGTCGTTATTTGCACACTCTGGGGCAACCTAACGTATGGTGGGTGAGTGGATTACTAAGTTGGGGTTCCTCTCTCTGGAGATAGAACATACATTATCAGTTCTCTTGTGTAGTGTAATTACATCTCGTACCCTTCAGTCCAGTCAACGTGTTGTGTACAGCATTTGACGACTCCCAAATCCTTAGGTCATGTGGACTGACGCCATGTCGTAACCCGCAAAGGGAAGAGTGGGAGGGGCCCAGGAAAGGGGAGCCGAACTGGATCCGGGGTCCCGAACTTGTTCTCGTGCTTCTCTTCTCTTTTCTGGAACGACGCGGCCGGCGGCAGTGTGGATGTTGTTGGTGGATGCCGTTCAGAGACAGACAAGACGCAAAGACTGGCCCGTGCGTCCCTCGACCAACGTCAACGTTGTCGCACATTAGCATGACAGCCGCCAGAGCTGTTCCTGTCACCTGCCTGTCAGCCCAAGCTCCCGTTTGGCAACTCGAGAGAGCATCACGAACTCCATCATCCTTGGTGGTCCCCGTCCCTCGGAATCCACACCTTGTCGTCGTTCACTTACACCACGATAACAAACGGGTTCTACAGCCGCCACCATGGCTTCCAAAGTCGTCACCGGCGTGGTCAAGACCACCGCAGGCGGCGTTGTGCCCGTCAGCCAGGTGAGTCCCCCAATTTCGCATTTCCAATCGCATTTTCACAATCAGCACACCTTCCAAGTCCCCGACCCGACTCATGTCCCTACAGTAACCTACCTACCTAACCCCCCGTCTCCACTAGTAGTGATAGTTACATACCACTAACACGTACCCTTTGCCCACCCCCTCCAGAAATACACTGTCCAATCCGTCGGCGTCTGGGAGCGCATCCGCCGCGCCTTCGCTATCGACCCTAACCGCTCCAACGGCGTTCCCTTGGTCCCCTACAACCGCAATCCGTCCCCCGGCTCTCTCGACCCCTTGGCCTACGATGATCCCGTCACCATTCCGGCCGGCGACATCGCCGACAACCCGTACTGGAAGCGCGACGCTCGGCGCAACTACCCGCGCCTGAGCGTGGTGGGCCAGGCCGAGGCTGTTGCCTTGCTCAGTGTTGGCAGCGCGAGCCACCCCCGTGTCGAGCTGGTGGGCGAGAACGGGAGCAAGCAGCTGGTTGCGGCGCAGGAGGCTGGCAAGACGGGTGGTTTGGCCAAGTACTTTGAGGGAACCGGTGTGGAGGCTGGTAAGCTTGTGTTGGCGGAGACGGGAGGTCTGCCGCCGTTGCCTAGTGGTGAGAAGCTGAGGGAGGGCGGCAAGTGGGATGTTTACAAGTATCAGTTGGCTGAGGAGCCTTCTTATTCTGAGGCGTGAGTATTTTTTTTTCCTTCTTGCTTCCCTGGGGGAAAGTGTGTTTGGGTTGGCAAAGGAATGGTGCTAACTGTAGTGATGATATAGCTACCCTTGCAGGTCGTTCTCTTAAGTGGAAGCAGAGTAAGATGAGCTTGTGAGCAGGACACATGAGCTAAAAGGGACCACAGAACCTTTGATGGAGGGATGACAACAGACATAACAAGACCACAGAGACCAGATACGTTCGGGCTGGTGTACATAGCAGGCAAGCAAGCAAGCAAGCGGTAGACGGAACGTATAGACTTTGCTTAGATTATGGCATTCGACGTCCAGAGGGAAATACGGTTTTTGAGAGTAACTGACGTTTGGGCCATGACCCAAATATGAGATTTGGCATATCTGACCCTCCAGCACTTTGTATTCTGCCCCGATTTGATATTTCCCATCCTCGAACTTCCACGTCTATGGTCCCAAGTCCCGACACCACATCCTCAGCATCTCAAACCTTTCTCTTCTCCCTATATGGCCTCATTCGCCTCCCAGTTCCTTATTCCCCCCCCCCCCCCCCCCCCCCTGCCTACCAAAAACCCAGCTCAATCATTATTCTAAACCTCAGTCCCAATCCTCCCCAAATCCACACCCGCAATCGGCGTCCCCGTTCCTGCTCCAGCCCCAGTCCCAGAACTCTCACCAGGCCCCCCAACCACCGCCGCCGGAGGATTTGGATTCGCCTTCTTCCTCTCCGACGACACCACCTCCCCCACCATCCTCTCCACAATCTTGGCTTTTCCCTGCGCCCTCTTCAGTCGATCATCAAAATCATTCACTGCCTCGTCCGTGTTTTCTTTCGCTAGCGTGTCGGTCTCGGCCAGCGCAAAGAGGGTAGAGACATGTTTTTCTAGACGGGCGTTGTTGGGTAGTAGGCGTAGCTCTTCTTTCCTTTCGGGTTTGTCGATGTTGGGGCCCAGGGTGAGGTTTTCTAGGGTATCTTCTACTTTTTGACGCTTGTCCTGACTCGAACTCTGAGTCTGAGCTTGTTGTTGTTGTTGACCAGTTTGTGATGACTGCTGCTGAAGGAGGAGATGATGGCGGCGCACGTCCTGCTTGGAAGGTAACCGATTCGCCCAGACAATGGCTCGGCCATGCAACCGGCCGCTCTGGACAAACTTCTGGAACCCCTTTTCCAAGCCGAGCTGACGGCCTTCGGTGCGGCCGGCCTTGGCGCCGTCGGAGACGCCTTGGGCGTAGCCTTGTTGGTAGAAATCTTCTTCGAGGTTGAGGAGGGAGTTCTCAAAGTCGAAGGGGTCATCGTGAGTTTGGGCTGCCATTTTTGATGATGGATCTTTTGTCGTTTGATTTGTATGGGGTTTGTGATACTGAGTTCTTAATGCGAAAGACACACAAAGTTGACCGAAGAGGTTTAATCGATTGGTTGATAGATGAGTGGTGTTGACGATATGGTGATGAAGGAACAATGAGAAGTTTTAGTGGGGTTGAATGAGAATGGTGGGGCGAAATTTGGTATCTCTGGCTTTGTAAGCTGTGGTCTGTGAGAAGTCCGACCGAGATATGGAAGACATGATTTCACCTGGAAAGGACCTCAACGTGTTGATTGCTTTCACTGTCAAGTCAAGTTCGAATCAGATATTTGTCATTCTGTTTTCATTGCTTTGATACAAGTGTGCGTGAGTTCTTGAATACTGATCACCAGTAGCTACCAAATGTACCTAGTTGCAAGTAAACAAACCCCTAATCACCAACGGAAGTTTCCCAAAAACGCTCCAAACGCCATGTCCCCATATGCCATTCGCTTTTGAGACAAACAAAACAGACTTCCAACCACTCACTATCATTTCTACCCATCAGTATTTCCTCTCCTTAGGCAACTTTTTGACCGTCATACTCTCCACATCCTTAGCATCATAATAATGCCCACCAAACTCCGTCAACCACTTCGGGTCAATCGGAATCACACTCCTCACAAACTCCTTCGTCGTCACCACCAGCTCATGATAAATGATAACCTTTGGTGGTGGGTCCATCCCCTTGACCACCGAGCTCGGGTGTACATACACCGTCATGTTATTCTTCAGCGTCCTGTATCCATCTCCGCCTCGATTTAGCCTGGCGGCATTGAGGAAGAAGGCTGCTGTGAGCGCCCGTAGGATGGGCTGCATGTTGGAGACTCCGCCACAGGTAGATGTGGACCCTTCCAAGACGCGATCGCACAGCTTGGCGAGCTGGTCGCGCACGTCACGAGCGCGGGTGAGCGAACGCTGGGTGAGGAAGTTCTCCTTGGCCCAGATGGGGGAGTAATCGGCGTCGACCCACTGGTTGTAGACATTCAAGAGCGTCAAGTGGTCGCCGCCGTCCTTGACAGTGAAGCGGGCGCGCGCGCTATCGGCGTGCACCTTCTTGTCCTTGGGGCGGAAGAACAGAGTGGCTACTTCGCCGAGCATGGACACAATGGTGAGCATCTCGTCGACGCAGCCCTCGGCCGTGGCAGCGATGAGCGCCTTGGCTAGCATCGGTTCGGCGGGGAATTCGCCCATTTGCCGGCCGACGCGGGTAAGTTGGCCGGCGGAGTTGAGGGCTCCCAAGGCGTAGAGCATGTTGAGGGACTTGATGAGGAGTTCGGTTGGTGGGGGGTCAAGGAAGTCAAAACCCAAAAGATCTTCGATACCGAGCGCTTTGAGTTGGAGGACAACGCTCGATAACGAAGTTCGTTGGATTTCGGGTGTCGGTGACTCGTCCATTTCAGAGAGGTAAGCAAATTTGGTATACAGACGGAAGCATTTTCCTGGACGGACACGACCGGCACGACCCATACGCTGGTTCGCAGCCGCTCGTGAGCACGGCACAACGGCGAGCGTGGACTGCCCTGTTGTGCCGACGGGACTGAAGGTGTTCTCCTTGACGTAGCCGCAGTCGATGACATAGACGATACCGTCAATGGTAAGGGATGTTTCAGCAATGTTGGTCGAGAAGACCACCTTTCTGGCCCCTGGTGGTGTCGGCTCAAAGATCTTGGCCTGAAGCTCCGAGGGCATGTTGGCGTAGATGGGTAGAGGTATAATTTCGGGTACTCGACCCCCCAGTTTCTTTTTGATCTCTTCTACTCGCTCGCACGCCTTGTCAATCTCCTCTTGACCAGTGAGGAACACTAGGATACCGCCCTCTGGCTGTGTAGCATGGATCTGGAACACTGTCACCAAACTGGCTTCTAGGTAGTTACTCTCTGGTGCTGAAGTGTAGTATACGTCGACCGGATGGACACGGCCGGGCACGTTGAAGATGGGCGCATCATCAAAATACGTGCTGAACTTCTCGGCGTTGAGTGTCGCAGAAGAAATGATGAGCTTCAGATCCGGCCTCGCCCTAGTGAGATCCTTGATGAGAGCTAGCAGAATATCGGTATGGACTGTTCTCTCGTGGGCTTCGTCGATCATGATGGCCGAGTAACCCTCCAGTGTTGGCGACGTAACCATTTCTCTCAGAAGCATACCATCCGTCATGTACTTGAGAATGGTCTTATCGCTTGTACAGTCCTCGAAACGGATCGAGTAACCGACCTCCCTTCCAACCTTGACTCCCATTTCATCAGCCACACGAGCGGCAACACTCATGGCAGCAACACGACGCGGCTGGGTGCAGGCAACCTTCATGCCGCCCTCAGTATATCCAGCTTCGTGAAGGTATTGGGGTATTTGTGTTGTCTTTCCCGAACCCGTCTCACCAACAAGGATAAGAACCTGGTACTCCTTGATGGCATCCAGAAAAGCATCTCGGTAAGCATAGACGGGAAGACTCTTGCGCACTTCTTGTATCGACTTGGCCGCCCTCTCGGCCGCCTCGATCTTTTCCTTTAAGATCCTCTGCTCCGGCGTAAGGCCGTCGGTGGGTTGTATGAACTTGGCCGCAGCGTCACGGACAAAGTTGATGGCATCCTCGTCCAGCAAGAAGTCGTATTCTCCGCCATCTTCACGCTCGCCGCGCGATGCGATTTGCGCCTTGGCCTTGACAGTCTGCTCGCGCTCCCACTCGTCGTATTCGGTAACCATCTTTTCGTTTCCGTACTCGTCTCTCTCGACGTGGCGCTGGTATAGAGCCTCCTCTTTCTTCTTGGTGTCGGTGCCATATTGATCGGGTAGGCGGTAGCCGTCTTGGTAGTCGTCAATGCGTGCTCGCTCCTCGGCCAGACGCAGAATTTCCCGGTTCCTTGCGAATTCGGCTTTTTCCTTTTCAGACAGCCGTACACCAGATCGCAACTCGGCCGTTTCCTCGGCAACTTGTTTCCGTAGGAGGGCAAGCTTCTCGGCCTCTCTCTTCTTCAGGTAGTCGTATCGGGACTTGAGTCTGAGATCTGACATCTTGGGGTCTTCGCGATCGCGTCTCGAGTCTGATCGGCTGTCGTCCTTGCGTGGTGATCGCGAGCGGGACCGGCGTCGGGTAGAGTCGCTGTCATCGGGTCGCCTACTCTTGTGTCGGCGCGGCGACCTGGATCGATCGCGTTTCCTGTCCCTTTTGCTGTCTCTGTCTCGGTCTTTCCTGTCGCTCTTGGATGGAGCAGCAGGCTCATCGTCCATGGGGACGAAGGCATATCGTTTTGACGCCATTGGTGTGGTGTATTTGTTCGACCAACTGCGACAGTGACTCTGTGTTTGTTGACCAGATTTGGTTGGGATGGGAGGCGAACATGGAAGCTGAGAACCTTCAGTTGGACGAAGGCATCACTGAACTGTCGACAGTAGGTAAGCACTGAAATCCTTATCTTATCGACCTGCTGCACTGTCTCGTCCCGCTACGTTCAGCTTGCCCCGGGGGGTTACACTAGGCATGTGCTTGAGCTTCAGCAACCAGGGGTTCGGTGATTCCTTCCGTCCAATCAGCTAACATGCTTTGGTAGCGACCAGGTGGCATTATCTGGTGCTGGACTGTTTATCGCCAAATGTATAAGTGGAATCTTCCATACTTCCAGGTACCTTTTTGGCCTCGACAACCTAATTCCCCCATCGTGACACTTTTCGCAGTCACCACGTCGGTCACTGACGTGGAATGCCCTCGACACTCTAGTATAATTCTAGTCGTTCTTTACTTGATCTTTCTTACCATTGATTAATCTACCTTGTTCCGGACACAGCACACAGCGACAGAAATCACCATGTGGTTCAAAAAGGGAGCCTTGCTGGCTCTCTTAACACTTGCGCAGTTTGCATTTGGTGTTGAGGACTACTACAAGGTTCTTGGCCTCGACAAGCAGGCCTCGGACAAGCAAATCAAGTCGGCCTACCGCCAGTTGTCCAAGAAATACCATCCCGACAAGAACCCGTACGTTCTCTATCTATCTCTGCCTCTCTACCCTCCCCCTTCCCGATGGTCACCCACCAACGCTCACTTCCAACAGAGGCGACTCAACAGCCCACGACAAGTTCGTCGAAGTCTCAGAAGCCTACGAAGCCCTCATCGACCCCGAATCCCGCAAGATCTACGACCAATATGGTTACGACGGCCTCAAGCAGCGCAAGCAAGGCGGCGGCCAACATCACGACCCCTTTGATCTTTTCTCCCGCTTCTTTGGTGGCGGCGGTCACTTTGGCAACCAGCCCGGCCAGCGACGCGGTCCCAACGTCGAGCTCAAAGTGGGCATCCCCCTCGTCGATTTCTACAACGGGCATACTACCGAGTTTCTATGGGAAAAGCAACAGATCTGCGAGGAGTGCGAGGGCACGGGAGCGGCGGATAAACATGTCGATACCTGCGACGCCTGTGGTGGCCACGGCATTCGCATCGTTAGACACCAACTGGCGCCGGGTATGATCCAGCAAATGCAGATGCAGTGCGACAAGTGCGGCGGAAAGGGCAAGAGCATAAAGCACAAGTGCCCCGTGTGCCAGGGAACGAGGGTAATACGCAAGTTGGCGACGGTTGAAGTGAAGGTTGAGCGTGGTATGGCCGAAGGGTCAAGGATCGTATACGAGAACGAGGCGGACGAGAGCCCGGATCATGTTGCCGGTGATCTGATCGTTACCGTCGTGGAGAAGGAGCCAAGTCCAAACCCTGAGGAAAACAACCCGAATCACCTCGACGGTATCTACTTTAGGAGGAAGGGTGACGACTTGTTCTGGAAAGAGATTATCAGCCTCCGGGAGGCGTGGATGGGTGACTGGACAAGAAACGTTACACATCTGGATGGACATGTGGTTAGGCTGGGAAGGAAACAAGGCGAGGTGGTACAGCCTGGTCAGGTCGATACGATAGCAGGCGAGGGTATGCCCAAGTGGCATGAGCATGGAGACAGCGTTTACCACCAGACGGAATACGGAAACCTCTACGTCGAGTATGCAGTGGTGCTGCCAGACCAGATGGAAAGCGATATGGAGAAGGAGTTCCGGGCGTTATTTGAGAAGTGGAGGGGGAAGATTGGCGTTGACCTACACAAGGACAGCGGACGGCCTGATCAGCCAGTGATGCATGACCATGATCATGATCATGAGGGGCACGAGCATGAGGAGTTATAGAGCAGGCGGGTTGATTTTAAATAAGATTAATGTACCGACTATATGATACATGTTAATAGATATCTCATGCCATTGGGTTTCGACTTGAGCCTGTCTCGGTGGATATTTGAGGATCTGAAAAAATCCAACAACCTTTTCGTGATGACTTCAACAACCCAAATGGTGCGCATACTTACTACCTTTGTCTGCAAAATCCTCAATCGATGGGACAAGTTGATGAAAGCCATCATGTGCTTACATAGTAAACACAGTGGCTCTGAGCCTGTAACGAGAATATCTGGCTGAGAACCGAACCACTTTCTACTTTTGCTGGCATGATGTTGGGTACATATCAGATCACCACTCGATGAACCACCGAGACGACAACCAACTGTTTGGATATTTCAGGGGTATGGCATCTCAGGGGGGCACAGCAACTGCAGCCCGGGAGCTTGGGCCATTCTCGTCCGTACCTCCATCCACGGGGGCGAATTGTCAATTGTGTGGGACAGCGGTGAACCACTGGACTGTCCACTGTTCGTCCACTGTCAAACTACCCCCTGGATGCCCACCGTTCGCCAAGACGCTCCAGGCTTGGTTGCCACTGCCTGCGGTGCGTGGAGGTGGTGTCCAGGTGGATCCCCCGCGTGTACAAGTAAACAGACAGATAAGGAGATCGGGACGAGAGTGGGCGTTGGCAGCGTGGTGCTACTGAAGAAAGTGGTTCGAGTTGGACCCTGAATTTCCAATTTCACCATCCTTCTCTCTCCTACACCTTCTTTTCCACATCTTTTTTTTTTTTTTTTCCTTGGAAAAGCTGGGCTTGTCTGTCTTTTGGGAACTTCACACGAATACCTTTTCCTCCCCACGAGTTCCGAAGGAAGCTATACAACCGACAACATATCTCGGTCATGGCCGCCTCCGCAGTAACGACGGCCACAACGGACTCGTCGTCCACGCAAAGGAAACAACAACAAAATGGAAAGCTAGACACCTCCTCCTCCTCCTCCTCTGCCAGCGCCGGCGCCGGCGACCAGAATGATGCTCTCGAGAAGGACTTCTTCTGGACTTACACCGAGGAACCGCACCGAACACGTCGTATGGCCATCATCAAGGCGCATCCAGAGGTCAGTCAGGCCACTCATACTCCCGTTTCCAACATCTTGTATACTGACCGTGTGGTTCAACAGGTCACCAAGCTCTGCGGTCCCGAACCCCTAACGAAATGGGTTGTCCTCGGCGTCGTGTCGCTCCAGTTCCTGCTCGCCCACCTTCTGCGCGACACCTCCTTCTTCTCGTGGAAGTTCTGGCTCACAGCCTACGTCTTCGGCGCCACTTGCAACCAGAACCTCTTCCTGGCCATCCACGAGATCTCCCACAACCTGGCCTTCCGCTCGCCTACCGCCAACAGGCTATTTGCCATTGTCGCCAACTTACCTATCGCCGTGCCCTATAGTGCTTCTTTCCGGGTACGTTTACCTCCTCTTTACCCTCCCTCTCTCTCTTTCCTTTTCTTCCAGTGTATATTACCAGCATACAACTAACGCACATCTTACACAACAGCCCTACCACCTGACCCACCACAAATCCCTCGGCGTCGACGGTCTCGACACCGACCTGCCCACCGCCTTCGAAGCCCTCTTCCTCGACTCCATCCTCGGCAAAGCCTTCTTCTGCACCTTCCAAATCTTCTTCTACGCCCTGCGACCCATGGCCATCTACCGCGTGCCCTTCACCTGGGTACACTGGCTCAACCTGACCATCCAGCTCTTCTTCGACTACGCCATTGTTTTCTTGCTGCCCGACTCCCTCTTCACCGCCAATTCCCTCCTCTATTTCTTGGTCAGCTCCTTCCTCGCCGGCAGCCTGCACCCCACGGCAGGCCACTTCATCGCCGAACACTACGTCTACGAGAAGATCACGCCCGAAGCCCGCAACCCGGACAACAAGATCCCCGTCCCGGAGACGTTCAGCTACTACGGCCCGCTGAACTGGGTCACGTATAATGTGGGATTGCACAACGAACACCACGATTTCCCTGCGATCCCCTGGACGCGGCTGCCCAAGCTGTACGAGATCGCGTCCGAGTTCTACGAGGGGCTGCCGCAGCACCGGAGCTGGACGCATGTGCTCTGGCAGTTCATCTTTGACGAGGAGATTGGTATGCGGTGCAGGGTCAAGAGGAAGGTTGGCGGTAGGGTGGTTGGTGGCGGAAGTGTTAGCGCGAAGCAGCAGCAGCCGCAGAACCAAGCCAAGGAGGCCGGATGGGGGGATGATGAGATTGAGGCTTAGACTTGGAATTCTGTTCCTCCTTGACTCTTGTCTAAACTTGGGGTAGTAGAAAAAGTGTAGAGAAGTTCCTGTATGTACATGTACGATGAAATGAACATAGGATTGAAACTACAGAGGTATCCAGATATCTGGGTTTAGTTCGCTTGGGATTTGTTGAAATGGGTTCGGAACATCCGGCTTGGTTGGACTGAACTATACACGGATACAACTAAACCAGTTAACAAATAGCTTTCCAGTATAGACATACATTACATACATACATTAATGAGCATGATACCAACAAACAAACAAACACAATTGTGCATATACTTACTTGCCTCAACATATCTATGGCACCAAAGAAAATAAACTGGCTGTAGGTATATCTATTGGACTTGTTCGTCAGCTACAGTATCGATGGACGATGACATCCAAAGCTCCCGCCACGGTGAGCATGGGTAGCTATACCCCACACAAGGATGACCCATGCCACCTATCAACCCCACAGCAAAGGAAAAAAAAAGAAAGAAAAAAAAAAAAAAAAAAACAGGAAAAAGAAAAGAACAACTTCACAAACTGAAGACGCATTTTCGAAATCTCGATCCACCCAGGGGTCGAACCTGGAACCTCCTGATTCGTAGTCAGACGCTCTGCCATTGAGCCAGCGGACCTCTTTTTCTTGGTTATTGTTGATTATTGATATCTTTTTTAGATATTCATCTTATGAGTATGGACAGTCATGGTCATGCTCCTTCAGCAAAAGATCCGAACATGATCAATGATAGTACACTGCATTCCATCTTTCCTTATGTTGTTCTTATCTGTTCTATATTCCATTTGTCTGTCTGTCTGTCTGTCTGTCTGTTCGTCTGTTTGTGTGTGTGTGTGTCTGTGTGTCTGTTACATGTGTTGTGATATACCATACCATACCTGTGATACATAATAATAATCATAAAGAACAAAAACAAGACGACGACGATGATGATGATGATGATGCATCTGCTGCTGCCCCGTGTACCCAACCGACCGATCCATAGCGGCGCAAGTAACCCATAGCATGAAACCCAAAACCTAGCCAGCATAAGAGGGGAGCAACAAAAAAAAAAAAAAAAAAAAAAAAAAAAAAAAAGCCATACCACAGGTGACTACCTTGATTCCATGCGTTTCATGCTTGTTGTTATGACAAGAATAGTGGAAAAAGAAGAGTCTTTCCTCTTGTCGACTGAAAGTGTAATATCGTTTCGTTGCTTCATGCTCATCCAGACCTCGACTAAACCAACATGACCCTCAACAGCCGTATCTCTCATACATTCCGTGATTCCATACCTATAACCGTGTTTGACAGAGATTACAAGGGCCGTCGCTGCTGCTGCTGCTGCCCTACGCTTAATGCTTCTTGTATTTCTGCATTATCACACCAGTCAGCACAAAATCACTTTATATCCCAATTCAGGAGGGGAAATTGAAACTCACCGCCTCAATCCTCTTCCGATGATTCGGATCCAACGCATTCGTCGCTCCCAACAACGTCTGCCCAATCGCCTTGGACACTCCGATCGCCGGCCTAAACAAAATCGTCGGCGCCTGCATCAGTACTGCCTTCGCCGCTCCCTGTGCGCTCGAGCTCTCCATCACTTCAGTGGGCACCGCGATGATCGCGTCTCTGGCAATCGCAATATCCCGAGACAAGCTGGCGTAGGCGCCACGCATGCCTTGCATGATACCTAGCGGTTGGTCGGCATAGAGACTGATTGCCTTGGGTGTGTGGTGGTCTCCAAAGTCCTCTTCGTCCCAGACTTCGTAGTCTACCCCGGCTGGTACGCCGGCAGCGGAAGAGGATGGACCTGCGTGGTTGTAGTTGGGTGGGTTCTTGGCCAGCATGCCTTCTGCGCCCTGAAGGGCGTATTGAGTGCCAATGGCGAGTTTGGCGCCGAGTTTGACGACTTCGGTGCCCGTGGTTTTTGCGAACGCCGTAGCTCCTTTACCGATGCTGCGGAAGATTCGTCCGTCCTTCTTGTACTCCCGGATGGGTATCTCAATGAGGTCCTTGAAGCCCGAGCCGGCATTAACGAGCGAGCGAACGGGCGCCACGCCGGCAAGGACACCAGGAAGTTGAGTCGACTTGACGTCGGCGGTCCAGATGTCGTTGAGCTTCTTGCCCAGCTTATCAAATCCGGAGACGCCATAAAGTATAACATGTCTCAACACCAGCCTGGAATCCTCAAGGATGACAAAGTTCATAAATTCTGTCGTGTGACCAGACCTCAGCCCGGCATAGTCAACCCGCTTCGGCTTGAAGTCCAACCGCACTGGCACATCACCAACCTCGCAGCGCTGAATAAACGGTACATCGCTCGACGATTGATGGATAGGCTGCGTCTCATCCTTGAACTCAAAGAACCTCGTGATAAAGTCCAAAGCATCCTGGTCAACATGGAGTCTCAGTGGAAGGATGTTAACCTTAACCACGAGCTCCGTAGCCGGCAAGTCTGGGACAGGCTTGACATTGAGCACCTCAAGATGGACCATGTGCTTACTAAGCTCCCGTTCGCCCGCGTCGATGTCGTACATGGCGAACTTCTTCCATGTTGAAGTCCGGATGTGGTCAAAGACGTCCAAGTCGTGGATGCGAACATCGATGGTATTGATGGTCTCGTTGCCGGGTGGGAAGGTCACCATGTCGATGTTGACGCCCTTTAGTTCGAACGTGATCTTGTGGTTCTTGCTGCGGCTAAGCTTCAGCGTCTTCCCCCTCGGCCGCGATTGACGGTGTCCTGAAGCGCGGACAGTTGAGGTGGTGAAGGCCGTGGTGGCGACGGACTCGGTTTCGGTGGTGGTGTCCTGATACTGCAACTCCTGGTTTATAGCCCGTCTAAGGTTGCTTGGGTCACCGTTGGGTCCCACCGCAATATATATGGAGTTAAACAAGCAGTCATCAACGACCGATTCTTCGTCTCCTTCATCCTCATAAGTGTGACGGTCAACTCGGGCTTTACGTTCGTACGCCTTAGCCTCCACATCCTGGACCGCCTTGGTGATAATCTCCCTGGTGCGAACCCAGTCGTAACCATCATACAAATTCCAGATGACATGAACATCCCGAACGCAGATGACGAGAGGGCTCTTGAAGACCTTGGCATCACTCGACTGATCGTAAAGGTTTTTCCTCGAGTTCCAGCGGAGCGTTGTGTTCTTGACTGGTTCAGAAGAGAAGTAATTCTCCTGAATATCCAAGTCACTCTCACTCTGGCTGCTGGCCGGAGGCACGTCAAGGTTTGCAGTGCTAACCAGCATGCCGTCATTCGTATTCTCCACCTCAATATCGCCGAGTAGCGAACTGTTCGTAGCATCGAACAACTCCTCCGCGACACCATACCCCTCTGACTGGACTTCGAGATGCTCCGTGCTTCCTATGCCATAGTAGTCATCATCGTCTTCATTGCCACACTCGATGCCCTGGGCACCCGCAAAGTCATTGTCAAAGTCATACTCGCCCTCCGCTCTTCCAAATGCGTCAGGGGTAATAGATGCGAACAGATCCTCGACAGGCAACACGGACGTCCTGTACTTGATTTCCTTGCTAGGGGGAGTAGGTGGCGTGAGTGCGTTGGCCAACGAGATGAGCGTCTGCGTTGAGTCCGCACAAGTCTCGAGAACAAGCAAGTCATCGCGGACAGACACCTCTATGTGGGATTCCCCATTCTCGTCTTTGCCAACCTTGACGACGGCTTTTGCAGATGATATCTCGCAAATGCTGACGAATCCCTTGCTGCATAGCTCAAGAGCCTGAGGAGTGCTCATAGCTGGAGCGCGTCCTCGTGCGTTGATCTGAACGTCTTGCAGGGTTTTCACATCATCAATGAGAAGAATGCACGCCTTCTTCAAGGTTGCTGTAGCGTCAAGCGTGCTGTCCTTGCCCGGTATGGCTTCCAGATGCGAGTCCGCCAGTACTATGGCCAGCTTCGAATCCTGACCGAGAGGATTGAGGCCAACAACGCAGTCGCGGAAAGCTACATCAAGCTTGATGGGCTTGAATTCCTTTTCCACCACTGGGCTCTCTGGCGTATCTTGTCTCCTTAGCGCAGCAGTCGCCTGGCCTCCAAGGTTCGCAACAGACGCAGCCAAATTGGCCTCAAATTCCTCCGGAGTGGTGTCTTCCTGAATGAGCCCCAGTACGTCCATAATTGTCGGTACCCGGTAATCCACATTTAGTCCGAACAACTTGATCTTCAACACCGGTTCAATATCGTCGATCATGCGCATCATCAAGACGGGCGCCTTTGAAGAACCCGGAGCATGGGCAGTGGAAGTGCTAACCAGCTCCTCCTCGATCGGGCTGTTCTCGTTCCGATTGACCGTAATACCGCCTACCGCGACAGCCACCAACGATGGCACCGTGATCTGGGCGAGCTCAAGGTTTGTCAAACGCGCGTTAACAACTCCGAACCTGCCCTCAACGTCGACTTCACAATCCACGTTTGTGACCTGCCCAAGCGTAAGCAGCCCAGGCCTGTCATCCTCGGGCAGATACTTTGCGACCGTCCCTAGCTTGGCAAGGTCCTCCACCAAACTCGGGATACAATCAAGCAAAGCCAAGTTGCCCGCCCTTAATTTAAAGTTCTTAACCTCTAGCCCAAGAACTGCCCCCTTCCTCCTCTGCCTTAGCAGAGTATCCACCATAATCTCATCCTCGTCCTCGTCGAACTTGACCTTTGAAGGAGTAATAAGCTCAAGAAGCCGTTCGAGGTCCCTGGTCCGAGGTGTCAAGATGTAGTCCAGCCTTGTACTATCCAACTCTAGTACGACTGGCGCTCTAGCATGGGAATTCCTTACGTAGGGCCCGGAGAGCCTGATCGTTTTAAGCACAGCAGCAATTGCCTCTTCGCGGTGCACGAGCTTGAGAGCGCTCGTGTTCAAGACTGCCCTGCAGTCTTTGCCGATCACGTCCACGTGCACGCCATTGATGCGTACATCAATCTTGTTCCCTGACCGCTTCTCCATAGGATCAATCGGGGTTTCGAATCGGACGCCCCGCGTCTTTTGTGGGGGCTTCGCTGGTACCTGTACTGCCTTTGCTACGGAGTCCTCTGACGCTCCCATATTGAGGAAACCGCTCAGCCCCCCAAACCAGCTGAAAGTCTCGTCTAACCTCTGTAAATCGAGCTTTAGGTAGAGCGGTAGTGTTTTGACGTCAACTCGAGTCACGTCTGGCGTAATGGTGGCCTTGACTGCGATATCCTTCCCAACAGATAGCATATCAACAGTTGCTGTGGATTGGAACAAATCAGCCTCGCCAGTGAACGAGACGATGGCCTCATCGGCATAACCGAACGCGAACTTCTCGATGCTGACGTTTACTTCTGTTTGCGATCCGGACTGGTGCGTAAAGGCGTTCAAGTTCGTAAGACTGGCCTCAAGGAGGACATCTGAGCCGAAATCGGGTTTTTGTGTCTCGTATATCCTCTTTGCAGAGTCGGCCACACCAGTCAGCTCCTCCAGAAACTGCATCGTAACCTGCTCCAAGCAAACCTTGATGTCAGGTAAAATCGATTCGGTACTTGAAGGCTTGACTTCTGTCGCCTCGTCTGAAGACCCTTTGAACGCTTCCAGGAGCCGTGTAACAACCATAGCGAGCAAGAATCCCACTGACGAGTCGAACCGGAGTGTCAGAGGCTTGAGAACAATTTCGATGGCCTCATCCTGGCGATCTTCTTTCAGGTTCTCTGGGGTTAAAAGCGTCGACTGATCCGTAGTACTACTGTGAAATGATTGGTGAACCGAAAACGCTCCTGGAAGGTTAGGATTTGACTTTGCAAGATTGGTGACTGGTGCCAGAACCTGCCTTCTCGTTGAAGGAACATAGACAGATATGGAGTCCAATGATACGATCTCCTTTACCATCCTCGTAATCCCGCGTGGTGTGGAAGTATCTTCATGCTGTGGCTCATAACCTTGGGCTGTTGGGTTTTGCTCGGGTATAGGTGTTGGGCTAGCCAGTTCCGAGACAACAGTGGTTGATGATTGCGGTTCACCTGCGACTGGATGGGTGGTTGAGAGGTCTCGCTCGGAGGCTGACTCCCCCCCTTCCGATTCAGCGCCCCAACCTCCAGGCATATAAGCTCCTGGCATCAGTGTCGAATGAGCATCAGACAAAGCGCTCATGTACATGCTCTCAGCCTCCTCGTGACTGTAGAGATGTGACTGTGCGAGGTCCTCCGTATCAGCGCTTGGCGTATCGTCGTCCGACCGTACCGAACTGGCAGACGAAGAAGGCTCAGAGGGAGCCGGAGACACAGCACCAGAGGGCATGGTTTGAGGTTGAAAACTTGTTGGAGGATGAAGAGAAGGTTCTGATCGGATTCCGCGCTCGTAGGACGACCAAAGTTCCGGCTGATGTTGCATGATAGCTGAGTTGGCATGGTCCTGGAGCATTGGTGTGTCATGTTCTTGGTACATTGAGGCCCTCGGTGTTGAGAGAGGCGAAGATCCAGCAACATTCTCTTCGGCCTCTGGATGCTGAGTGTCGCTCTCATACGGAATATGCAGAGCATCTTCGCTATCTCGTACTTGGAATTGGCTCTGTGCAAGCATATTCAGGGCTTCCATCTGATCTGGGCTTATGCTCATATCCAGGCCCCCCATTGATGACTGCATCGAACCCGACATATCACGTAGTGTTGACGGTGCATCATGAGGTGCTGATCCCTGTGGTTTCACCAAGGATTGTGCTGACTGGGTCGGCAGGAGAGAAGAGAATACGTTCGCTTCCGTGATCAGGAATGCCCGGAGATTGTCCAGAAGAATATGACGCTTGCCCTCCCTCGGTACTATGGCAGGCGAACCGTCTTTTTGCTGTCCAGGTGCTGTGACTCCTTCCGCAATGACCTCGTCTAACGCCAGCTGAAACGTAACAAGTTCTGTTGTCGAGAGACCGGGTTCGACGGGTACTTGCATGTCGAGTTGGAAGGTGACCTTGTGGATTCGGATCTGGAGCCTGTCCAGAATGCCCTGCAGGAAATTGGTCAAGAACGTTGGTAGCGACAAGCCTTGACCAGTGCCGAAGGTGGCGAAGGAGCCATCGTCATCGGTTTCGGAGTCGCTCATGGACTCTGATAACGCCTCCTGTGCTTCCTCGGCAAGAGCCTTTTCCAGCCGTCTCTGCTCGTCAGTCGGAATTTCTGTCTGCAGAAAAGACTGAGCTAGGTCGGCGGCAGTTGGCACAACCTCGTCGCCGTCCTTGTGTGTTCCCTTTTTGGTTTTGGCCGTTTGTTCATCCTGCTCTTGCTTGGACGCCACCCGTATCCGAGTATCGACACCTTCAACCTCGACTATTATTGGACTGTTGTAGATATCGACCGGTATTGTGATGCGGAGTAGGAGGACTTTGGCCTTTTGGATCTTGAACGTTGGGGGAAGGTTTGTGAGGGCTTCAAGTTTCTGTCAAGGGAGCGGCAGCAGGTGGTTAGTACGAAGGCAGAGTGGAAGGTGGGAGTCGAAACATACGGATAGAATAAGTCCAACATCACGAAACTCTAAAACAGTATTTCGCCCAATAGCGAAGTTGAGGTTGTCTAGATCAAGCGCCTGGGAGTCGAGGAGGTCTAGGCGCGCTAAGACGAAGCGAAGCAACTGCTTCGGTAGAAGCGAATTGACGAAGGACCGATAAAAGAAAGACATGGTTTCGTTCGTTCGTCTGCTCGCTCGTTATTATGTTTGGGTATCGTAGGCGAGTACTCGGGGAACGAAGTGTGAAGCCCGCGGTTGTCGTAAGAATATGCCGACAGGGTTGTCAAGGGTAGTTATGGTAGTAGTTCCAAGTGTAAAAAGAAATGTACAAGTCTCGATGCCGAAGTCGGTTGGCTAACGGCGCCCAACTTCTTCAAGCGAATGTCAAGACAGAGTGAGATGACAAGCCTATGGGATATCGAGCGAGGATGACGAAGGGGACTGGATCACTGGAGAGCGTCCTCCAATGACAACAACCATCCAACAGGAAGCCGAATAGCGGTATGGACGAGGTAGCGCAAGACCGGGGAGGTCATGGTTGAGCGGCGGGCATCGCTTGAGTTGTTGTATGTCTAACTAGCAGTTGGTCATGGAGATATGGATGGATAAAGGGCTGTGAGGAGGGGCGTGGTTCGGGTTGTGGTTGTCTAGTAGGAATACCTAGGTAGTAGTTCCAGGTCGGCTGCCTTATCCGTTTGTTGATAAGATAACGCGAAGCCCGGCGCTGGTGACGTTCACGGAGGGAGAGAGGGGACTGAATGGAGCCTGATTCGTTGTCGTCGTTTCAGGAACACGGTGAAGCGGCAAGAGATGCGTCGGCGTGATCTAACCAAGTAAAGTCCTCAAGGCCGTGACTCAACCGTGACTGAACAACCTAGGTACGTAGGAAAAAGTGGTTGTAGTGTACAAGTAGGTAGGGAAAGAAGAAGGGTGATAAGAAGGATGCGGTTGTTGAAGAAATGCGAATGTGATTGTGAAAGTGAACACCACCGTGACTGGACCCCAAAGGCGAGCAGATGGACGGGAAGAATGGAACATGCAATGTCCTCCGCTTGTAGGTATTGATTGGCAGTGCGACTTTCACACTGATCGCGCGCTGTGTTCCAGTGTTGAAAAGTCGTGGAAGCATTGGCGGGGATGCACCACTAACTACCCTACTACCCTACCTAGGTACTAACTGCATCAACCGGGCCTCCGTCACCACCTATGGGGGTTCTGTCATCGGCGTCCGAAGTGGTGCAAGCACAACACAGGTCGCTGCACCTGTAGTAACAGTATGTAAGCGATCCCTGCCCGGAGCCGAGAAGAGCCATCCACTAGTGTACTCCCGCCGGCTGGGGTCACTGCCTAGGTAGCTACCTATGCCGGGGTGCTGAGCCAACCCCGTGACAGCCCGGCCTCAAGGGGGTCAGTAGGTAGGTATCGCCAATCAGTTGACCTTTTCCGTCCATTTATTGACCTCCCATCATCTTGGGCGGTCTCTTCTTCTTCCAACACCATGTGCTGGTCGGTCACGGTGTACTAAACCACACTATGTAGCTTGGCCGCTCATCATGACCATCACACATTCGCTTCCGGTTATTATCAACAGAGGGGCTATTTCAAGTTAGAACGTCTTGTTGGAGTGGCGAAGAACTTGTTTTTCTCTTCTTCAACCAAGGATGCTGTTCTGATACCAACACAAGGGACACTGACCCTACTCAGAAACTGCCCTCAAAACATTACAAAATATTGCCTACCCCAAAGTATCATCATAATTGACAGTTATCGCTGCGTGTCATTGGCAGTTTGTAAGGTGTTTTGGTGTTGGGCATGTTCAGACCGTCTCTCATACTATGTATACCTACCTAGGAAAAACAAGAACCCCGCGAATTCACTGCCCGTGAGACTGTAGATCTATCTCCGGTTCCATCCAGGCCCTTTCCCAACCCCAAGTGCTCGGCCAATGTGTCAACAGGTGGAAATCACTGTGTAAGCGCTGCATCAAGGGAAAAAAAAAAAAAAAAAAAAAAAAAAAAAAAAAAAAAAAAACTGACGTCGCCATGACTTGTACGTACGCCTATCCACCTAGTATAGACAATATTTACCATGTCCAAACGTCGCACAGATTAAGTTGCAATGGTCAGGTATCACTCAAGTGCCCGAGGTGACACAGATTCCGCAACACCGCAACGCCATCGAAAGATGATCTTATCTTTCAGACCCCAAGTATCTTGTGTACCCGCCACCTGGAAATCGTATTCCCAACCTTCCCACCTCTGAATCTATCAAATAAGAACCGCTATCTGTACCCACAAACCAACATATCCCAAAACTCCTGCCGGCTGAACCTCATCTCCAAACCGTCATACACGTTCGTTCACCTAACACCCTCATCCTCATCTCAAAATCAAACAGCCGCCTCCCTCTCCCCAGCACCAGCACCAGCACCAGCACCGGCAGCAACCCCCCTCCCATACCCCTCCGCAATCCGTCTCGCCACATCCTCACCACTCCAATACGCCCCCGTCACCGTCCCCAGCGCCACAAACGTCGCCGTATGTTCGCCCGCCATCCACACCCCTTCCTCCGGCACACCATGCCTCATGGCCAGAATGTCCTTGTCCCCTTCCTGCAGTCCCACCTGGAAATTACAGTAGCTCCCGTTACCCGCCAGATCATCATGCAGCCAGTCCGTGGCTAGACACCCGCTCGGCTGGCAGTTGGGGTCGGTGGGGCTGTAGGAGGGAAGGAGGGAGTAGTAGGGTTTGAAGAAGTCGTAGAGGAATTGTTGAGCCGCCGAGTTTTGGTCGGAGGGGATGGAGCCGTTCTTATCGGCACTGAACTCGGCACTGGAGGAAGTGGAAGAGGAAGAAGAGGAAAGGGAGCGGACCTTGGAGGTTACGTACTCGGACTCGGCGCCGTAGATGTAAAAAAGCAGAGTCGGGTGGGCGACGGACGGGTCGATGGAGCCGAGCTCGACGATCTCGTTGGTCCAGCGGGAGGGATTGGTCGCGGAGGCGTAGGAGGGCGAGAGCCATTGGCAGAAACCTTTGACTGTGCGGTTGTTCTTGTTGTTATTGTCGTCGTTGTTGTTGTTGTTGGAGGCGTCGGGTTCGAGCCAAAAGGCTTTGGGAAAAGAGATGTAGACTTTTTCGAGACAACCGTAGCCGATGCTTTGAATGGCGGTCGTTAGGCGGGGAGGGAGTGGGGGGTGGAAAGCCTGGAGGTTTTGCTTGAGCCAGCCTAGAGGGGTGGTGAGGACGAGTTCGTCGAACTCGTAGTATTGGTTGTCGGTTGTTTTGACTTTGACGGTGTTGCTGCCTGTGCTGGACTTGCCAAAGATTTCAGCGACTCTGGTTTGGAGTTTGATATCGGCACCGCCGTCTACGACGGGGGCTACGATCTTTTCCATGATTTTCCGGTAGGTGCCGGAGCAAAAGAGGTTTTCTGCTTCTTGTCAGTCTCGTCCAAGTTTGGGGGTAGACAAGTTCACATACCTCCGTCCAGACACTCCTCCAGCCAAAAGAACTTGAGGCTCTGTTTCTCAACAGGACTGCCCACGAATGCGCCCCATAATTCTGCCATCTGGAGCACAATCTTCCTTTTCCTTGCATAATCCTCTTCTGTCTCCGGAATCTGCTCTGCCACTTTCTCTTTGAAGAAATCCAACAGTGATCGGTTGCTGTCAATGTCGGCACTATGCTTGTCCGAGTACTGAAAAGCCTCCGCAATGATATTCCACATTATCGTGGAATACCTCTCGCTGTCCTTCACTGGAAGTATATCGCCGTGTTCATCAAACACTGCTGCGTCGCCGTCCCAGTTCGTCGTGATAGTGCCTGTTTCCTTGGCGAGCTGAAAGATGGAGTTTTCTTTCGTTCCATGAATCCAATTCGCTCCCATGTCCACAAAATGGCCGTTGGGGAGCTTTTCTTGATATATCCTTCCGCCGAGACGGTCTCTTGCCTCCAGAATGGTGACTTGGAAGCCGAGTTCGAGTAGATAGCCGGCGCTCCGCAAACCCGCCATGCCTGCTCCCACAATGCCAACATGGGGTCTTTTTGTAGAATCCATTGTGCCAGACTACTTCAACGTGAGTATATCTCGAATTAACGGAATTCCTGGGTTTATGTACCTTGAAAGAACTGTTCAGAATGCTGAACCGACTCGACAACTTGTCAAAACCGAAACTCGAGACTGTATGTAACCTGGATGATTTCAAATCTTGATATATCCTCGAGGTGCTCTTATGGGAAGCACTAGCAACGGACATGGAGTAAGCATCCATCTTGGTCGAAGGTGGCGAAGCAAAGTGGCAAGAAGTTATTCAAGCCAAGTGAGGTTTAGAACGAGGTCAGAACGTTGAGAAGTGTTGTTATTAAGACTGGTGGAAGAGCTGTCCTCCAAAGTCGAGATAGAACGATGTCGAAAATATAAATAGTACGCCTTTGGCGGTGTGATTTGTGATAAGTGAATAAATGAAGCGGTCAATCAACCCGAGCATATATAGACAGCTTGAAGGTCCAGTATACTATTCAAATCTCATGCGTTGACGCATGAGCTACTCAGTGGGATTTCGTCGACGACAGTGAGGCTGCGTGCCTTCCCCATCCCTTGAATGTCTGTGATGTCCAACCGGAAGACAGCCGAACATTACTCGAAGGGGTATCATGAAACCAGCTGATAAGAGGCTCGCTGAAACGGCAGAGACTTAGCTCGACAGACAGCGTCATCCTAGTATCCCGTGTGCACTGCCCGTCGGCCCTTCACGATACCACTTGGTACCATATGCCAGACCCTGCGTGAGAAAAGTGGTGTTGCTTTCCACTTTGGTGACCAATTGAAGTTGATATCTCACGCATGCTGTTGAAAAAAAAAAAAAAAAAAAAAAAAAAAAAAAAAAAAAAAAAAAAAAAAACACCAGATCAAAACTTGGACAGCTTGAAGGCAATAGATGGAGGCAATGACCGTGCTCGGCGTGACTAACCCCTTGACTGACACGTTACTCGACAAATACAAAGGAGAAGCTATTTGCTAAAAACTTACAAAAGCCTGAACACACTGATTGATGCCCTCGAGGCAATGATCATACCTTACTTGGGCTTGCCCGCCAGTCAACCGCTAAAAGCTCAGCAAGGAAGCTACTGTAGTGAATGGTAGCTCGGTAGGTGGCCAGCAGCTCCAAAGGGGTAGGGTCTGTATTGTCGTAAAGAGATCCGCACCACTGTTTTTTTGTTTCGTTCTCGATCGTCAACTGGACGAGATGAGGCTTCAATTCTCTTTTGGCAGATGTCCTAGCAAGGTGGAGAATCCCATTCAATGAGGGGTTCAGGGCGGTTGCCTGTTGCCAACAGCCAATACCAAATCGTCGTGTCTCTTTTTCTTCCTCGACGACAACCTTGAAAGATGAGTAATATACAACAACACTCCTATAAAGTCAGCATCTCACCATCTCCATTTCATACACTCTCGGCCTTTTCAAAGCATCTCCTGGCTGAAGTCTGTCCAGTTGAAAACCGTAACAAACACACGACCTTTGACAGTGGGGCCGATACCTTAATCGCTTGGCACTAACGAGCTGCCCCATGGGGCCGCGGTCCACGCTGCCAGTTGGTCATCTTTGAAACTTGGCACCATCTCCTCTTCTCCCAATACACGAAGAGAAGCTACACCAAAGTAACTCCCAAACTCAAGTCTAAAAGACACAAGAATCGGTATCAAGAAGTATTGACCGCCTCGATTGAGATAATGCCGTGGTTCCTTGTCCAAACCGCCAGGGACACATCACATGCCGGATGCGCCTCCAACGCCCGATGATACAACTGGAGAAGAGGACAAGACAGTCCAACCAATCATGAACAAGATATTGGAGATTGGAGACATGGCCCCGTGCTCCCCACATTCTACAACCCCACGATCCGCCAGCGAGCCGAGGCAGACCGATCGATGCCCGGCCTCTCGTTTGGGGTCTTGTTGAAGCAACACCCGCCGTTTTGGGCTGGGGAACCGAGAACCCGAGCAAAAGGAAGATCCCGAGAGGTCGACGGCTTCGGCACCCAAGAACCATTCGGAGCCATCGAGGTGCATCAAGCCCCTGCCCGCTGTTCCGCTCCTGGAGACAATGTTCCGCAGCCATGTGTTCAATAAAAGGCTCCTCAGCTACCCAATCCGCGGTGTGCTGCTTGTGTCTTGATCTTGTGTTTCCAGTTTGACCATCACCATCACCACCATCATCATCATCTTCTTCTTCTTCATCATCCTTCTTTTCCTCCTCTGGGACTCAAGTAGACGAATCGTGTGATTCCTGTTGTTTATCATCGGTCCTCCACAAATATACCCATACACATATACACATACCCCCAAAATGGCCAACGTATTAAACGTCCCGGACAAGACCTTCACCCGCGAGGAGGTCAAGAAGCACAACACCGAGGACAGCACGTGGTTCATCATCGACTCCGTCGTCTACGATGTCTCCGAGTTCCTCGACGCCCACCCTGGTGGTGAGGCCGTCCTCCGCCAGGTCGCCGGCCAGGACGCCACCTCGGCCTTCTATAACCTCCACAGGCACGAGGTGCTGATCAAGTACAACGACCTGGCCATCGGCTCCATCAAGGGCGAGAAGCAGTCCATCATCACCCCCCGGCCCGGCGACCTCTCGCCCGTCCCCTACGCCGAGCCCCTCTGGCTCACCCCCCAGTTCAAGAGCCCTTACTTCAACGACAGCCACCGCAGCCTTCAAAAGGCCATCCGCAAGTTCACCGAGGAGGTGATCGCCCCCGAGGCTCTCGAGAAGGAGCGCACCGGCGAGCTCATCAGCCAGGACCTGATCGACAAGATGTCCAAGGCCGGCATCTTGCACATGCGCATGGGTCCCGGCAAGCATCTGCATGGCGTCAACCTGCTGGACGGCGCCGTCAAGGGCGAGGAGTTCGACTACTTCCACGACATGATCATGGCGCAGGAGCAGGTGCGCGTCGCCTGCCGCGGCTTCCAGGACGGCAACATGGCCGGTATGGCCATCGGCCTGACGTGCATCCTCAACTACGGCGACAAGAACCCGGCCCTCAAGAAGCGCATCACCGAGGAGGTCTTCGCCGGCAAGAAGAAGATCTGCCTGGCCATCACCGAGGCCTTTGCCGGCTCCGACGTTGCCGGCCTGCGCACCACCGCCACCAAGACCCCCGATGGCAAGCATTACATTGTCAACGGCACCAAGAAGTGGATCACCAACGGTGTCTTCTGCGACTACTTCGTCACCGGCGTCAAGACCGACAAGGGTTTGAGTGTCCTCCTCATCGAGCGCGGCGAGGGCGTTGAGACCAAGCCCATCAAGACTTCGTACTCGCCCGCCGCCGGTACCACCTACATCACCTTCGACAACGTCAAGGTGCCCGTCGAGAACCTGCTCGGCGAGGAGAACAAGGGCATCTACGTCATCCTCTCTAACTTCAACCACGAGCGCTGGATGATGGCCTGCGCCACCATCCGCTACATGCGCCTCGTCGTTGAGGAGTCCCTCAAGTGGTCTCACCAGCGTCTTGTCTTTGGCAAGCGTCTGATCGATCAGCCCGTCATTCGCCAAAAGTTAGCCAAGATGATTGCCCTGTGCGAATCTCACCAGTCTTGGCTCGAGACCATCACGTATGTTTTTTTTTTTTTTTTTTTTTTTTTTCCCTCCTCTCCTCTCCCCTCCTCTCCTCTCCTCTGCTTCCCTTCCCCTCCCTCTTCTCCTCTTCATCCCAGCCCAACCCAGCTAACACTCCCCTCCCTCCCAGCTACCAAATGAACCACATGCCCTACTCGGAACAAGCCAAGCACCTCGGCGGTCCCATCGCCCTGCTCAAGATGTCGTGCACGCGCGCCGCCCACGAGATCGCCGACGAGTCCGTGCAGATCTGGGGTGGTCGTGGCCTGACCCAGACCGGCATGGGTCGCGTCATTGAGAACTTTAACCGCGGCTACAAGTTCGATGCCATTCTCGGTGGTGCCGAGGAGGTCCTTGGCGATCTTGGTGTCAGGCAGGCTATGAAGTTTATGCCCAAGGCTGTTTTGTAAAAGGGTCGGTCAAGAAGAAGAAGAAAAAGGGAAATAAAACAAAGTAAAAAAAAAAAAAAGGGGGGGGGGGGGGGAAACAGGGCAGGATAGGAGATGATGGCGCCGAGGCCGTGAATGGACGGTGGGCGGTGTTGATGATGAACAGTCCAGTGCTGGCTTGTTTGTTACCCGCTACCTAGCTTGGTACCTAGGTACCCCGTTATTGCATGAATAGCGTTCAATTTCTGTTGTTTACATACCTACACTACTATTATGGTCGTTCTGTACACCACCTTTGGTTGTGTAGCTGGTTTGCTTCCGTGTGTGGCTTTTACATCTTGCGTGTCGACGTCAATGTAAACTTGATATCCAGCCAAGGTCGGCTCTAGGTGAGATATCGGGATGCCGACTAGGTCAAGGCCTCTCGAAAGCGAACAACCGATAAACCATCAAACCTTGCTGAACTTCCAACTCTGTTATGAACGTTCCTGACAAGCACCGGATTGTTACAGTCACGTCACTCGAGGCAAAGAGGAACTGGGATTTGTTTCATCATCGATGCATTACGCTCGCATCGCACACCACGGCCTTTCGGCGCTTTTTATTCGTTGACCTATTGAGTCCCCATACGATTTTGCTTTCCCCTGAGATCTCGGATAATTATGATGTCCTCATGCCCGTTCACAGAATGAAGATAGCTCCCTTCCCATTTAAGTTCCATATGTGAAGAAAAAACAGAAACCCGCAAGATGTTTGTCGTGCAATGGCCCCGCCCCTGTTGCACAAGCCCTTTTTGTCGTAGAAAGACCCATACGGTATGGTTGGTTGAAGAGGTAACCCCTGGCCGTCCAGACGCCAATTTTGGTGAAAAGACCTTTTTGCTTTCCCAATCTCCCCAGTGGTTGTCGGATCATCATGATGTTTTGTGTCGCGTAAAATGCAAAGGTGAAAGAATTAAGAAAAGTGTAAGAGACCCGCCGTGAAAAAAAGTCCCAAGCAGCGGATATCCAGATACCAGTGAACACCAGCAGAACGACCCCGTGGACTGAAAAGTTCCTCAGAAAGGCAACGCAAAAACGCAGCACCATGTCATCACCCCCAGTAAAAGCTGTCCATCACCGGTCCCGCTTGCTTATCCATCTCGGTGATGAGAAGTGAGCAAGGTCAGGGTTGGTAAGACAGCAAATGAGCGAGGCCGCCAAAGGTAGTTGGTGTTACCTGGCGATCATGGCGCGTTTAAGCGCTGGGGCACTGGGACTGAACGTGGCCAGGCTGCTGGCACTTGTAGCAGATCTTCTCGCCGGAGCCGGAGTCCTTGGGGCAGTCACCTGTTGAAGCGTGGTCAGCTTTGTGCAGAATTGATGTATACACATGGAGACTTACGGGAGAAGTGACCAGACTCGCCGCAGTTGTAGCACTTGGAGCCGTTGACGCAGTCGCGAGACATGTGGCCAATGCCACCGCAAGAGTAGCAGGTCTTCTGGGGACCACCGAAACCACCGCCGTAGCCGGAGTTCTGGTAGCCGCCGCCGTAGGAAGCACCGCCCTTGGAACAGTTGCGGGCAATGTGGCCGACCTCACCGCACTTGTAGCACTCAGCGCCGGAGGACTGGCCGCCGCCGGACTGGGAGCAGTCACGGCTGATGTGGCCGGTCTGGCCGCAACGGTAGCAGGTACGGGCGTTGTCCTTGGGGCCCTCGGGGCAGTCACGGCCTGTACGATAATGTGAGCAGCTGGACAATCAGAAGTACACGTTTTCGAAGCGAGGACTTACTCATGTGACCCTCGTTGCCGCAGTTGTAGCACTTAGCAGCGCCCTTGTTGGGGCAGTCACGGGCCTATTGGTTTCCTGTCAGCATCATGACCAAACACACAGCTTGTATACCTCTCCAATCTTTTCGCCGTCCGCCATTCTGGGTGTCTCTCTTCTCTCTCTCTCGCCGAATGTTTCGCATACCTGGTGGGTAGTCTGGCCGCCTAATGTCTCTCATGTCAGATCTCTCCCCTCACTCTCATGATGATTGTTGTTGATATGGCAGTATGTGGATAATGGTTGATTCAGGTGCCTGTGAGGGCTAAACGGTTTAGAACTTGTTCGCCTTCTGGTACAACAGCTCTCGCTCAACCGACGAACAAATCTCGAACTCGTGAAGATGTTCTGCCCTGTCCAAGCACGGCAACCCATAGCGCAACAACATCAAAGCTGCGGCGGCAAACCAGACTTGAGACCAAGGTCTAAGCCCGACGCCAGCGCGCAGCACGATAATGCCAACTTTCCTTGTGTATAACCATGTGTGTGTAGCATCATCCTAAGATGCAGGATCGAAGTGTGAAAGGGATTGCAGGCGACGCAATGCTTTGTAGAAACCGAGCGCGGGTGACAGCTGTGTGCCACGCCGGCGAAGCAAACGAAAGCTAGGACGCAGAGGTTGTAATGGCGAACTCACAAGTGAAGCAGGCACGAGTGCCCTGGGGAGCAGCGAAGGAGTCCATTTTGGTGTTGGTTTGGGGATGTGTATCGAAGATTCGAAGTTGGGTATTGAGAGTCTGTCGAGACGTTGTTGTTGATGGGTCAGTAAAGGGAGAGGTGTAGGTGGCAATTGAAGTTTCCAATGTCCGGGTGGGAATTTTGTCCTGGATTAGAGGGCTTGCTTTGACTTGCAAAAATGGGAAAAAAGTGGGGGGAAATCTTAGTGTGGGGTTTATCGCAGCACTTTATCGGGACCCGTACAGTTTAATCGGATAAACTGGGGGGCGATAGGTTGGTGCCTAGAACGGAAATGACTGAACCTGAGGGAATGGTAATGATCTTGTGTCGGGTGCTGCAAAGTGAGGAATAGCTGAGAGAGATCTTACCTGGAAAAAGTAGTAGTAGACGGAACTCGAATGCTGTTGCTGTAGAGAAAAGGTGATGTTGCGGTAGGAAAGAAGGCAGTAGGACGGGCAGGTAGGACAGATAAATAGCAATTGTCGGCTAAGTGGCTCAGAAGGCAGGCAAAACTCAACGAAAGTGAAGGGCACAGCGACGAGCTAGCAAAGCGGGTGGTCTGGGCTGTCAGGCTTTTGGTTCCTGTTTCCCCTCCTGGCTGTTGAAATTTTCTGGAAGGACATTTTGTGTGGGGAGGGGATCCCTGTCCTGCAGTCTGACCCTGTCGAGCCTGCCTACCTTTGGCCGTCTTGTACGCAGTACCTCAGCCATTTCACCGGTTTTGGTAGCTTCGGCGTTGGGACGTGATCCGACTCGTAACTTTCATTCCCTTTGCCATTCTGAACCGGCAACCACCACTGCCATATGCCAATTTTTGCTGCGTGGTTCTTCTGCCTCTTTAACAGAGCACGATGGATGGCGACGATGAAGTGAGCGAGAGTTGCGCCGAACATGTATAATTCTACTAGCACACGTCGATTTGTCTTCTGGCAGGTGTGTTGCCGGCATCTGTCCAAGTACGTGACCTTAACTTTACGAGGTCCAGTCTACCTACCAGAATGGCATTGTTGTACCGAGAGGGCCATGCGATTCCATTCTGATGGGAGTGAAGGGAGGACCTGTTGCGAGTTCCATCACGGCGCTATCTATCCCTTTTCAGTTGCAGACTCCGACTCACACCACATGCCGACAGCATCCTTCCTCCTAGTTAACAAGGGGTAAACACCAAATGCGGGTGCTCGTACCACAAAGGTCAGGGGGAAGGTAACCTAATGTACGTACACTCTTCCTCGACCAGATAACCACAAATGTTGTGCTCGTCCTGTTATTAGGACATATGGTTGTCCCCCTCTTTTCCCGTTCCGTGCCTCCACTGCTTCAAGGTTACAATCGACAAAATCATACATTGGCATCATGGCGGGAAAACTGCGGTGGTTTGGGAGATATGAAGATGGGGAAGCGAGCATGGAGCCCATAACGGTATGCTGTAAATGCCCCTGCGTGGTGCGTTCCAGCTCTCAATCCGGCATTCCTTTTCATCAATATCGTCGATATGTGTGTTTCTCAAAAGATGGAGACCGGTGCTTGCTCGAGGCTGGGAACGAGGTTCAGAACGAAGTCAATGATTTCTTTCAGTAACAACGCAAGGAGCGCCCAATACGGCCGTGATACGTGTTTCTGGCTACCTGCAGCCAATACAACGGAGATCAGGGATGTCGGCGAGAGAATGCGATCTGAAAGAGCAGGTGTAGAAGAGGGGGGCTTCACTTGAAATAATCTGTTGTGATCCGAGGGGTCCTTAGCTTGGCCGATCTACGCCACGTGCGACGGTCGTCCTGTTTTGCAGATAGATCCAAATACCATGCCCTATGGGCCGCATGGCCAGCTTGGATAGCAAAGAAGAAGAGATGAAATTCCAAATCCCGATCCAACTAGCTGTGATCTCACCCAGACGGGAGGAAATCACGGCGGAAAGCGTGAAGCCTTAACACCGTATAGCATCAGTTCGAAGAAGAGCAAAAGTACGTAGGAATGTCTAGATACTCGAAGCGGACCAGGTCAAACCCTGGGTGATCTTTCTCACTGGAAGTCAGATACCGGGCGTGAGGATTCTTCAGCTTCGTGAAGCCAACTTGCTGGCTTGAAGCGCAGTAATAGATTGGATATAATCAGTCTACCTAGGTACTCCATTAAGTCAAGGGATCCAGGAGAAAGCTTGGGTGGCATCCAAACATCCAGACATGAAGATGATGCGAGCTACCATCCCCGCGTGGAGCAGAAACTCGGCGAAGTTGCTCCGTGTTCGTTCATTTGCCGCCATGGAACCACGAACAGACAGCATGTTAGACAACTGAGTGTCCAGAGATTTTGAGAGAAGTCGTGGTTTGCGTTCAGTTTCCTTCATTGTTAGTCAAAGTTGACAGCATCCAGACAGAAGCTAACCCAGAGTCTTTGTTGCCCGGTTTGGCCTTTTCTTGAAGATATTCTGAACTTGATGTCCGAAGCTCAAGACGGGTTGCGCTCCACAGCTGTCAGGGGCATACCCCACTACTCCGGGATTTAGGGTGGGTCTAGCATGAACCCACTGCACTGC